TGAGAATGTTTTATAGCAGTAGTAGTGGTTGTAGTAGTAGTACTGGTGGGGGTGGTGGTGGTAATGTGTTTGTGGTTGAAGAGATGCTGTGGATGAGATGAGTGTGGACTGTAGTAGTAGTGTGGGCAGAAGCAGTTACTGAAGTGGTTGTATCGTAATCATTAAGTAAGTTATTTTTATTGACTGTGTTCTCAGTTCAGATGACTACTTTTTAATCATCAAGTATTCACCTGCTGCTGCTACTGCTGCTACTGCTACTGCTATTTCTGCAATAGATCACTCATCCATGTAGCTATTTGGTAGTAGTAGCTGCAGCAGTAGCAGCAGCAGCAGTAGCAGCAGCAGTAGCAGCAGTAGCAGCAGTAGCAGCAGCAGCAGTAGCAGCAGCAGTAGCAGTAGTTGCAGTTCATGGTATTGTTTGAATTTGTAATTTACATGTTTTTATTGTTGATTTAAGGTTAGTGTAATTACAATGTGCTTTAAGAATCACGTGTCAAATTGGTGTTCTGAGAGATTTTGATTTTGGTAAAAATCTTTAGTCTAAATCTCATATTTCACTGTATTTGTGTGTTTTTACTTTAGTCTCAGGGCAGACCATTGTGTTCTGAACGTGATGGAAAGTTGTCCGGACTAGTTCCTTTGGCTTCATTCGCCCAAAAATCAGAGCAGAGAAACCTGACCTTTCAAAATGCCGTCTTAGTATCAATAGAATCAAGTGTGTCACCTTTTGTATACTTTTGAGAAAGAGCCACTATACACAAGAGTCACTATTTGACTCTTTGGGCTGAGAGCTGATTGGCTGAGAGAGGATGGTCCTCTCTTTTCTGTCTGAAAAAACTGATCTAAAGATGCCAAAGATATATGCACATAAAAACTAGTGATAAAAAGACCTCTGGTCTCTCTCTTTGTCTCTCTCTGTCTCTCTCTCTGGTCTCTCTCTGGTCTCTCTCTGTCTCTCTTTGTCTCTCTCTGTCTCTCTCTCTGGTCTCTCTCTGGTCTCTCTCTGGTCTCTCTCTGTCTCTCTCTCTGGTCTCTCTCTGGTCTCTCCCTGGTCTCTCTCTGGTCTCTCTCTGGTCTCTCTCTGGTCTCTCCCTGGTCTCTCTCTGGTCTCTCTCTGGTCTCTCTCTTTGTCTCTCTCTGTCTCTCTCTGTCTCTCCCTGGTCCTTCTCTGGTCTCTCTCTGGTCTCTCTCTGGTCTCTCTCTGGTCTCTCTCTGGTCTCTCTTTGTCTCTCTCTGGTCTCTCTCTGTCTCTCTCTGTCTCTCTTTGTCTCTCCCTGGTCTCTCTCTGGTCTCTCTCTGGTCTCTCTCTGGTCTCTCTCTGGTCTCTCTCTGGTCTCTCTCCGTCTCTCTCTGTCTCTCTCTGTCTCTCTCTCTCTGGTCTCTCTCTTTGGTCTCTCTCTGGTCTCTCTCTTGGTCTCTCTCTGTCTCTCTCTGTCTCTCTCTGTCTCTCTCTGTCTCTCCCTGGTCCTTCTCTGGTCTCTCTCTGGTCCCTCTCTGGTCCCTCTCTGGTCTCTCTCTGGTCTCTCTCTGGTCTCTCTCTGGTCCCTCTCTGGTCCTTCTCTGGTCTCTCTCTGGTCCCTCTCTGGTCTCTCTCTGGTCTGTCTCTGGTCTCTCTCTGGTCCCACTGAAAATCAAATGTCCTTGAATTTGATATTGGTGTATTTTTGCTCTGAAAACTCCCTGAAGTTGTGTACTTTTTAGTAAAAAAAATGTAAATGGAAAATTCCCTCAATAAATATTCAATGCATTTATTGTCAAATTCTGTGTGTAAAATGTGCCCTAACAGACAGCTGCAGTCGATCTTAATTGAGTTGTTCCAGATTGATCTAAATCTATTGATTGTTCTAAAAACCTCCTGTGGAACTAACGGTTAGACCAAACCAGGAGACCAGTTAGAGATCAGTGAGAGACCAGAGAGAGACCAGAGAGAGACCAGAGAGAGACCAGAGAGAGACCAGAGAGGGACCAGAGATCAGAGAGAGACCAGTTAGAGATCAGAGAGAGACCAGAGAGAGACCAGAGAGGGACCAGAGATCAGAGAGAGACCAGTTAGAGATCAGAGAGAGACCAGAGAGAGACCAGAGAGGGACCAGAGACCAGAGAGAGACCAGAGAGAGACCAGAGAGAGACCAGAGAGAGACCAGAGAGAGACCAGAGAGAGACCAGAGAGAGGCCAGAGAGGGACCAGAGAGAGACCAGAGAGGGACCAGAGACCAGAGAGAGACCAGAGAGAGACCAGAGAGAGACCAGAGAGAGACCAGAGAGGGACCAGAGATCAGAGAGAGACCAGTTAGAGATCAGAGAGAGACCAGAGAGAGACCAGAGAGGGACCAGAGATCAGAGAGAGATCAGAGAGAGACCAGAGAGAGACCAGTTAGAAATCAGAGAGAGACCAGAGAGAGACCAGAGAGAGATCAGAGAGACATCAGAGTTCATTTGTTTTGTGGTTTGAAAGTTAGGTACCCCAACTTAAAACAACACTCCTGCACATTGTAATTCGATCCAGTGTATTTCTGCACCGCCCTAAATCACACTCGCAGTCGTCTCTAAGGACATTACAAAGTATCCAATTCCTCAACAACAGATCTATGACATCATGAGGCTGTGGTCGTGACATCACATCTTCTCGAGGATGAGCACATGCAGCATTCACAACTTAAAGGGAGCTTTTTTCTCCCAGTGCATGTTTTTAAATTCATTTAAATTCATATCAATTTCATTTTTTATTTCATTTTTTGTTGACCCAAAGAACCTTTGTGCATGGAGCTGCACTGAGCTGCACAATCGCGGCATCACGGTTGCCACGGAGATGAGGAAGTGAGCCCTCAGAGGCACTTCCTGACAGAGTTGACTAATAACATCGGTCCTACTTCTCATCAATGTTTTCCTTTTTGAAACATTGATATATAAAACTTGTATAAAACTAAAGTCGAGTATTTCCTGTAGTTTGAACTCATGTATCAAACAGCTTGTATTAGAGGCTGTCATTTCCACTGACGCCAGTAGATACATATTTAAAGAAGCTATAACCACTTTCAGTGGCGGCTGGTGGAATTTTCTACTGGGGGGGCTATGAATATGATGACTAGATATATACCAGCAGTAAGTAAGTTTACACTGACTGTTGTGACTGAAGCCTCACACGAGAATCAACAAGGTCACATGATGCTTTCTGATCCCTACCCTGTAGCTTTCATCCAGCTGGGATGAAATATTTATCTTCCCAAACATAGCTAATTTGAGGGCATTTTGCATGTGGATACCAGTCTGCTCATGCTTCTTTGCCTTTTCTAAAAAGTGCTTCAGATCAGTCATACCTGTCTTGATCCATGCTGGGTCAGATCCTGATGTTTGAAACAAGAGGCATGGAAAGCAAAATAAAGCATTAGCCTCGCTACATGCTGCTAGCCAAGATTTGGCGCTGAACCAGGTCCTGGAAAAAGTACGAGTGTACCGTCTCCCCCTGTCGCTGGATTGCTGACTAATGGTAATATTTGGCTGATCAGGTCCAAGCTCTTTAACCTCAACCTTCTCCTGGTATGATCTTCTCTCAAACGGTATTGTTTTGAGTGATCTAACTGAATTATTCTTTTTTTCGTTCTCCATTTTGCGTCTGTTTACGTTCGTCTCAAACTCCCACAGCTTGACCTGTCAATCACTGTAAACGGACGTCACAGACAGTGACAGTACAGGTCGCGGGCGATCCCGCCCCCTCAGGGCGCACTTCTCCTGCGCCCCCAAATCGTCTTATCTCTTGCATTGAAGAGGAGCTACTGCGCATGTACAACTTTTAACGAGAGTCCATAGACGGCTCAGGGCGCAATCTTTTGCGCCCTGAGGCGGAAATACGTCCTCAGTCCGACACAGACAACGCTGATGAGCTTAATCAATCCAACTCAGCATAAACTATAAAGTATTTCTTCCACATCTGAAATAAAACACACATACATTTCGAAATATTTTAATGTTATTATTTTTTTTAACGTTTTATTCAAGGTAACATGGCAAGTTGTGAGTGGTGGGGCGGCGCCCTAGCGCCCTCTATTGGCCGGCCGCCACTGACCACTTTTTTTCCAATGAGTTCATAAAAATGCTTATTACTAAATACAAGTTGTATTAATTTTATGTAAAACTTGAGTTCATTGATTCAGCTGTGAATGAATTCAGGCGTAAAAAGTGCTGAGTAGAGACTTAGCGTGATGCCCGCTCTCCTCCAATCACAGGACGAGGCTGCGTCCTCTAGCCTCTACAGCGCTGCTAAACACAGTAGCATGTTAGCATAAGTGGCTATAACTCCTCTGGCTGTAACTGCAGACACAGCAAAACAGTGAGGAAGAGAAGAGGGAAATAAAGCCAAAACATGATCAAAGAAGAAATCAAGCCCGGGTAATCAGTGATTGTTGTACAGCTTACAAGAAGTTGCGCTCATGCTAATGTTAGCATATACGTAGATCGCAAATAAAACTAGAGGGCTCTGTGGAATGAGAGCTATACCCGTTTCTCAAACCTTGTAGAAACGGGTATAGCTCCTTTAAAGTGACTCGTTTCTGGCTCTAAAACAGTTCTACCACATGTTTGTATGTATGACCTCTGACACATCTTTGGATCACATTTTTCAGACAGAAAAGTGAATTTATTTAGTTTTTAATGTACTGTGATTATTCATGATTTGAATGCCTTGTGTGACTGTTTCTATCTTATTCTCCTCAGCACTTTGAGTTGCCTTGTGTAGGAATTGTGCCATACCAATCAGCCTTCAGCCCAAATTGTGACTCACAGGGCTCTTTCTTATACGGGAACATAGTTAATGTTGTATTTAGATGATTTGTTAGGTTTGTCTACAGTCTGGGGCAGGCATGTCCAAACTAAGGCCCGGGAGCCAAATGGTGGCCCGTTATGTCATTTGCTGTGGCCCTCTGCTTTGCTAAACCTTTGTTCTGCCTAAAAACCCTTACAGTCAAAGCCGGGCTTGAACCCAGAGCCCTGACCTAAAGATTGCTATGGCCATACCTGAACCTGTTGGACACATGGACATCTCGCTCATGTGTTGTGGTCAGAAGACATGTGTTTGGTGGAGGAAGAGGAGGAAGTGAGAGCGAGACGTGTCCTTTCACTTCTGACCCGTTCTGAGTCACATTTTTACTTCTGTCCAGCCTGAAGATGTGAGAGGTGGACTGCAGTGAGAGGGTCATGTACAGTAGGGTTGGGGGCGATATGGGCCTCAGCATGTATCACGATTTTTGTTGGTATGTATCACGATATGACGATATGGTAATTTTAACAAAGCCTCATATAAAAGCTATAAAAACTTAGCACTGATCATTTTAAACACACTTGCCTCAAAGTGCATTTACTGATTTATTGGCAGCAAAATGTGTAATACAGCTATTGTATATAAAACGTATTAACAAAACTGAATTGTAGAGAATTCTGTTTTGTACATACTGAAAATTGCAGGCAACATGTAATAAAGGTGAAGATTTGCAATTTGTAAAATATATAAAAGTTTGTCCTTTGTAATATAAAAAGTGTAGCATTATCAAATAATTATTTGATCACTTTGGCTTATGTTTCCTAATCCCAATATAGTCAAAATGATCAAATACTGTATATATTTTTTGTATCCTTTTGCGTTTCTATAATTATGTAATTATAACTTATTTGTAATTATATTGCAATGTGGACAAACACATGCATTGAAGTAAAATGAATGACAGTAAACAGTAAATAAAGCTTACCAATGGCACTATGAGAGAGAGAGAGAGCGAGTGTCCGAAGCAAGCCACTCCAGTCCAGTTGTTGCAGCTGCTTTCACAACATTAGATCCACTGTCCATAGTTACACACAATTGCTTCTTTTTATCTAGTTCCCAAACTACTCCCATATGTTTGAGGTAGCTCCGCGTTTTGGCACAATGTCTTCTACAATCTGCATGTCTTCACCATGGTCTTCACCGCCGCCCTCAGCCATGTTTGCTCTCTGCTCTGTTGTTGTTGTCCGTGCACGCCGCTCTGCTACACGTGTCGCGCAGATGCGTCATCAAAGTGCGCCGCACACAAACGTGTCTTCCGCTCGCTGTTTTCAGTGTTAAATGATCGTTTTCACCGGTATAAGGCATTTTCTTATCATTTAATTTACTTATACCGGTACAAAAAAAATATCGCCCAACCCTATTGTACAGCAGGCCCCAGAGAGCTCTACAGTCGTGGCATTAGTTATCCACATATCACAGTTCAGTTCTAGACCAATCACACAGTAGATATCTCGGCACAAATGAAGTTGTTTTCAGGCATTTGGGGGCAGAAGCTGGGACTCATTCACCTCTTCATCTTTTGAAACACTGTTAATTGTAAATGATAGCCCGGGTCGTTCGGGTCGGTTCGGTCAGGTTGGTCAGGCCGGTTGGGTCGGTCAGGTCGGTTGGGTCGGTCAGGTTGGGTTGGTCAGGTCGGTTGGGTTGGTCAGGCCAGTTGGGATGGTCAGGCCAGTTGGGTTGGTCAGGCCAGTTGGGATGGTCAGGTCGGTTGGGATGGTCAGGCCGGTTGGGATGGTCAGGCCGGTTGGGTCGGTCAGGTTGGGTCGGTCAGGTCGGTTGGGTTGGTCAGGCCAGTTGGGTTGGTCAGGCCAGTTGGGTTGGTCAGGCCGGTTGGGTTGGTCAGGCCAGTTGGGTTGGTCAGGCCAGTTGGGATGGTCAGGCCAGTTGGGTTGGTCAGGCCGGTTGGGTTGGTCAGGCCAGTTGGGTTGGTCAGGCCAGTTGGGATGGTCAGGCCAGTTGGGTTGGTCAGGCCAGTTGGGATGGTCAGGCCAGTTGGGTCGGTCAGGTCGGTTGGGTTGGTCAGGCCGGTTGGGTTGGTCAGGCCGGTTGGGATGGTCAGGCCAGTTGGGTTGGTCAGGCCAGTTGGGATGGTCAGGCCAGTTGGGTTGGTCAGGCCAGTTGGGATGGTCAGGCCAGTTGGGTCGGTCAGGTCGGTTGGGTCGGTCAGGTTGGGTTGGTCAGGTCGGTTGGGTTGGTCAGGCCAGTTGGGTTGGTCAGGCCAGTTGGGTTGGTCAGGCCAGTTGGGATGGTCAGGCCAGTTGGGTTGGTCAGGCCAGTTGGGTTGGTCAGGCCGGTTGGGTTGGTCAGGCCAGTTGGGTTGGTCAGGCCAGTTGGGATGGTCAGGCCAGTTGGGTTGGTCAGGCCAGTTGGGTTGGTCAGGCCAGTTGGGATGGTCAGGCCAGTTGGGTCGGTCAGGTCGGTTGGGTTGGTCAGGCCGGTTGGGTTGGTCAGGCCAGTTGGGTTGGTCAGGCCAGTTGGGTTGGTCAGGCCAGTTGGGTTGGTCAGGCCGGTTGGGTTGGTCAGGCCAGTTGGGTTGGTCAGGCCGGTTGGGTTGGTCAGGCCGGTTGGGTCGGTCAAGTCGGTTGGGTTGGTCGGATTGGTCAGGTTGGTCAGGCCAGTTGGGTCGGTCAGGTTGGTCAGGCCAGTTGGGTCAGTCCACGTGGTGAGTGCCTGGATTTTCTCCTCTACTTTAATCAACACTGGCCGCTCTAATATCTGATTAAGAGAAGGCTAATCTGCTGCGAGGCTAACGCGCTCACATGGGACACTCTCACTCGTGTGTAAAGCCCATAATATCTTTATCATACTTTTTTCTGTTTAACTTTGTAGTAGATACTCAATGAGGAAATATCAGGCATTATATTTGGCCCTTAGAAAATAAAATGATGGTAAATGAACTAAAGTATCTGTGTGTTTTAAGCATAGACTGTAAATATTAACAAACGTGGTCACGCCTATCTCCGCCGTTTAAACTAATGTGCCGCCACTTTCGCCGTCTATGGGCAGTTTCTAAATGGCCTTGGGGGCTGGAAAATGTAAAATATCTCCCTTGGAATGACGAACTAAAGCAACCGTTTTTGAAATACGACTAAATGGCTTTGTCCTGTTGGCAAATCTTGTTTTAACAAAGTCAGAATGTGCTCAAGATACAAACCACTCGATTCAAGCAATTATCACACTATATTTTATCTTTTGTTTTGCAGCGGAGTGCTGTGCTACCCTTATATTTCAGAGTTTTTGAAAAAGGAAAAGGTTTGTGTGAAGCCATTTTTCGTGGTAGAATTAACATATTTTCTATATTCATATAAATTAGGTTAGAAACTCCTCTTCTCGCCCTGATCAGAAGTCTCCATCCCCCAGTTGTCAATGTATTTCCCCTTTAACATCTGTGTCAGTCTTCTGTGGTTCTTCTGTGTCCCCTCTGATGGTAACGATGGGAAAAAATCCGGTTCTTGTCAATTCCTGAATTTATTAATGAGAAACCTGTTTATTTTTGGTGGTATTTGTGTTATCATTCATAATCTCAGAAATGTGGCCCAAACGAGGACATTTCAGCATGGGTCTATAAACTTTTAAGCACAACTGTAAATGTACAAAACCAGGGGTCTCAAACCTCTCCTCCCTGCTGCTGTCAGACTGTACAACGAGAACTGCTGAATCATGTCATCTCATCTGTAAATACTGCAATTTCAGAATGTCCACTGATCGTCACTTTATGTATTTTATGTACATAATTTACACTTTTTTTAACTAATAATTTTACCTTTTTTTGTTTGATGTTTATTTCAACCACTTCAATTTTACACATTTTCACAGAACAATACATTTACCGAAAAGGAGTAGGCTAAAACTAATGCTAATTTTGCCTACCAAACTGAGCCTAAAATAATACATAATAAATAGCTATATAAACATTTACTTGCTGCTCATATGAAGCATTTACAGCCACTTGTTTTGTGTATTATGTGTCTCTTATCTTATCTTTTTGCAGAATAAGCTAATTTGAGCTAAATCAAACAGGCTCCATGGGGGGAAATCCGGAGCCAAAGTCTTATTGTGCTGTTCACTGCTTAAACCATTTTGGGGACAGAAACCAGGAGTCATACCTTGATTTACCAAGAGAATATACCAGGATAACAGAAGGCACTAAACCCCAGATTTAAGCCCAAATGATGCGACAGAAACGGCTACTGAGCTGGGGAAGATTACTTAACTTATACATGTCAATATGAGCCAGAGCGAGTTGGAGCAAAACCCTCTAAAAGCACTTCCTTATTTGGCTTCACTGAGCTAGTGTGTTAGCATGTTAGCATATATAGATAGATCGATATTTTATTGATCCCCGTAGGAAAAAATCAGGTGTCCAGTAGCAGCAAAAAAATAAAATAAAATTGATCTTTCTAAAAAGTTAAAAATAAAATATATGTACAGTCTATAGTTGGAGCACAGGGAGCAGCCGGAGCACGGGGAGCAGGCTGATCCTCTTAGTGTCACTGCGGTCCACACGTGCTGCAGGAGACAGCTGAGGACAGGGAGACCACGCCCACACGGTCCAGACACACACTCCGTCCTGCTAATCCAATTTTTGGATTGTCACCGGGGAACCAAGAACACAAAAATGACAGCAGAGTGAGACTTGGTTATGATATTTGACTCCAGGACTGAGGCTGTAGATCCAGGACTGAGGCTGTAGATCCAGGACTGAGGCTGTAGATCCAGGACTGAGGCTGTAGATCCAGGACTGAGGCTGTAGATCCAGGACTGAGGCTGTAGATCCAGGACTGAGGCTGTAGATCCAGGACTGAGGCTGTAGATCCAGGACCGAGGCTGTAGATCCAAGACTGAGGCTGTAGATCCAGGACTGAGGCTGTAGATCCAGGACTGAGGCTGTCGACCCAAGACTTAGGCTGTAGATCCAAGACTGAGGCTGTAGATCCAGGACAGTGGCTGTAGATCCAGGACTGAGGCTGTAGACCCAGGACTGAGGCTGTAGATCCAGGACTGAGGCTGTAGATCCAGGACTGAGGCCGTAGATCCAGGACTTAGGAGAAGTACATGACCACATGAAGTGGATAACCGTGTTTCAAAGTTCTCTCACACTGGTTTGAAGTGGTTAGCCGTGCTTCTAAGTTCATTCACATAGGTCTGACGTCACTAAAACTAGTCTTGTATGTGATGTGTGCAGACAGCACTGGAGACCTGGAGCGCCAAATCACCATGGATACGAAGGCCCCAAACACCACTAGTCCCGCCCCCACCACCAACAGTAGCAGCTGCGACCCAGTGCATGAGGACTGCACCGACCAGCAGGGGGCGCTCAGGTGGGTCACACTTCTGGATTTAAGGAATTGTGGGTCATGTGATCTAATCTTAACCCTAACCCTGATGTTATTCAATTCAATGAAATGTATGACTTTACAAAGTTGCCGATTCGCCAACATAGTGCAGTGAATGACAAACAGTTCAAACAGGAAATACAATGCTAAAACACACTTAGGGCCATTGGTCCGTAGGGGCAGAGACCAATGTTCATAAATGTCTTTGAATATTCAGTGTCCTGGATCATCCCCACTGTCCTTAGAACCTCCTGTATCGGAGAGGAAAAACTCTAAAAACCCAAAGGGAGAAAAAAGAGAAACCTAGCGAAGGCCGAGCTATAGATCCAGGACTCAGGCTGTAGAATAGGGTTTAATATTTTTCCCGAAAATGAGACGTATCATATCCCGGGAAAAGACGACGCCTTTCCCGGGAAATCCCGGGAAATAGCTGTTGTTTGTAGTTGTTGTTTTTAGCCCAAGTAATGTATGATATCACTCAAATATATAATCCAACAAAAGCTGCCATCTCCACTAGTGTTTCACCAAGTGACTTGCTAGCTTTTATAAAGTAGCCATAGCGTTTTCAGACGTTTTGTTGATGGGCTTTCTTCAGGAATTTCACTATTATGAGATTCTAAATGTCTGCGCAATCCACTTGTCGAAAAGTGACGTGCGGTGTGGTTTGGAGGCACTGACTTCAGCCCTGTCAGATGAACATATATCATATAAATCAACAGAACCTACAGAGCGGCTTATTCACAATTAGTTTGGCTACAGCAGAATGTTTTCCATGGCCCGCATTGTTTGCTCAAACAAAACGCAAAAGTTCGTAAAAGGCACATTTCCAATTGTGTTATGGGTCTTACCTTAGTTATTAATGAACAGCACAGACCACTTCAGTTCAGACCAGTTTCATGTTTAAGTCCATATAATAGTTTGAGCGCAGATATGTAATCCCCCATTTGGAAATAAGCCCAAAGAGCAGCAGCCGGCTCTCGGGCGCATCCAATTTCTAATATCAACCTTCTTACCCTTCTCCTCTCTTCCTTATCATTCCTATCGTCATTGTAAGCAGAACATTACCCTAAATGCATTTTATATGATTTTAAAATGTGTTATATGTATGTTAGCCAAACCTGTTGCTGCCCTTAGCAGATGGAAAAAAAGAAAGGAGCTTTCTGATAGAATTGGACGTAACCAAATTCTGGGCTCACATGTGCCCCGTACCCTGAGCCTGGCCTCATTACAAGTCGTGGTTTAGCGCGATTAAGACCCATATTTGTTGTCAAAAACACAATTTAGGAGCCATCCTCTCAGCTGTAGACATGTTGATTGTAAATGAAATATGTTTGAACTTTGAACAACAATAAACTTGCTTTATAATAGGAGCGCACTGTATTTTTTTTTTTACTTTCATTTCCCGTTTCCCGTCATAACATTTCACAACCCGGGAATCGGGAAATAGTTTTCATCAGATTTCCCGGGAATCCCGTATCCCGGGATTAAACCCTACTGTAGAACGAGGACCGAGGCCACGCGATGCAGGACTGATGCTGCTCCCAGTCCACAGGTGTAGATGGAGGAGGCCAGGCTCAGGGGTTCCATGATCACACCAATGGGACAGAGGGTGAATAGCAATGAACAGACTACAGCTGAATCATAACGATCACAGGTAAAGTAGGAAGAGGAGAGGATGTAGAGGATTAAACCCGGACATTGTAGAGCAATTGTCTCAAGTTCATCGTGGTACAGATGGATTCAAAAATGAGAGCTGACCAGGGACCAGCTGTTTTCTCACTGGTGTATTTTTGTATATTTATCAATTTTAGATCATGGTGGCATATAGACCAAAGTATTAAATGTATTTAACATGAGTTTTGATAAATAGTTAGAAACATATCCACCCATACAAACAAATAAATGCATAATAAGTTAATGAAAAGTTATGTAAAAGGTCTCCAGGCTTTACTTCCATAGCTCCCAAACAAACACATCTGTTCTCTTCCATCTTCCAGCGAGGTCTTGAACGACGAGCACCCCCAGGAGCCTCCGGGGGACAGTCAGGAGCCGGCAGGGGACATCGAGGGGCCCCAGGACAGCAGTGTCATCGCGCCCCAACAGAACGGGCTCCACAGTGACCCCCCACGCTGCCTGTCCCCTGCCCCAGAGGAGAGCCTGATCCAGGGGGCGGACCTGTTCGGATACGTGGGCATCGAGGCCGTGCTGGACCAGATGAGACGCAAGACCATGAGAGCGGGCTTCCAGTTCAACGTCATGGTGGTGGGTGAGTGTCCGCACCAGGGGTCTCAAACTCAACTTTTTCCGGGTGCTGCATGAGGTCGAGTCTGTGTGAAGCTGGGCCGCATTAAGAGTTATGTTTGTCACGTGTTTGTGTGTGTGCAGAATATTTGAACATCGGAGCAAACAGATCTATGCACATGTAGAGATAGAATCAAACCACTAAAATTTCACACGCCATTTCATTTTGAACACGCTATATAATTTTTCGCACATTATTTAGTTTTGCACACGCTATTAAATTTTGCACACGCTATTTGGTTTTGCACACGCTATTACATTTTGCACACGCTATTTAGTTTTGCACACGCTATTTAGTTTTTCACACGCTATTTAATTTTGCACACGCTATTTAATTTTGCACACGCTATTTAGTTTTGCACACGCTATTCAATTTTGCACACGCTATTCAATTTTGCACACGCTATTCAATTTTGCACACGCTATTTAATTTTGCACACGCCATTCAATTTTGCACACGCTATTCAATTTTGCACACGCTATTCAATTTTGCACACGCTATTCAATTTTGCACACGCTATTCAATTTTGCACACGCTATTCAATTTTGCACACGCCATTCAATTTTGCACACGCTATTCAGTTTTGCACACGCTATTCAATTTTGCACACGCTATTTAATTTTGCACACGGTATTCAATTTTGCACACGCTATTCAATTTTGTACACGCTATTTAATTTTGCACATGCTATTCAATTTTGCACACGCTATTTAATTTTGCACACGCTATTCAATTTTGCACACGCTATTCAATTTTGTACACGCTATTTAATTTTGCACATGCTATTCAATTTTGCACACGCTATTTAGTTTTGCACACGCTATTTAATTTTGCACACGCTATTTAATTTTGCACACGCTATTCAATTTTGCACACGCTATTCAATTTTGCACACGCTATCTATTTTTGCACACGCCAGTTTAGCTCCTGATAAGTATAATTTAAGTCTACATTTCAAACTGCGTCATCTTCTCACTCTTTCACATTAACAGATAAAGTAAAGTTTTGGACAGAGGCAAAAACAGGAAAACCAAGAATCAAATGTTGAAAGTGTTATAGTTCTTTGTTTGTTTCTGTGACTTTTTATCATGAAAGAGTTTGGATCAAATAATGAATTTTATTGTACATAAGTTTAGATTTAATTTCCATGATTTTTTATGAACAAAATGAGTCCAGCTGCTGGGATGGAAACAAAACTGGACATGAACCAAAGTTGTGTTGTGCACTGGGTTTGATGATGTTGACCTCAGGGTTCAATGTTTATGGTCAAGTAAACAGCCTGGTTAAGATGAGCTTTAAAATGATGTATAACATGACATTTTTGCACAGATATGGCGGCACGGTGGCTCTCACTTCTCAGCATGAAGGTCCTGGGTTTGAATCCCTGTTGTAACGTGGTCTTTCTGATTGGAATTTGCATGTTCTCCCAGTGTCTGTGTAGGCGTCCTGCGAGTGCTCCGGTTTCCCTGTACCACTAAAAACATGCACTATATGTAAAATCCTCCAGCTCTGGTCCTGACCAGTGGGGGCGGGTCCCAGCTCAAAAGTGGCCAGAATGACATGCGCTGACATGCTGCAATACCACCCCGGGCCTGTGGGGGTGGACCTGGAATAAGAATTAGCCAATGCTAACATATAGCATAGGCAGACCTCTAGAAAACGTCTTTACAGGATGGACCAAAAGTTGGCTCTTGGCCCAAAGCTCCGTTCCACATGTGTGTCAATGCTGAGGGGGGTGGATTTTTTTGGTCCACTCTAGTTTAGTCGCTGTGAATTTTTGAAGTCTCTCGTTCAAATGAATGGAGCTCGTGACGGCTGACGCATGCGCAGATGAGTTTTTTCACAATTTTCTTTTGGATAGTTCCAGTAGAGCACTATTTTTGGCCCATTAGTTAGAACGTCGAAGATAGGCGTGACTACGTCTGTTAATTTTTACAGTCTATGGTTCTGACCAACTCGAGCAACAACATCTGGAGATGTGTTCTCGGGCGCTGTTAGGAAGAGTCAAATGCAGAGGACAAATTTCCCTACGGGGACAATAAAAGTGCACATTTTATTTTCTCTCAGTGGGGGCCGCATTGATTAGAGTTTGATGTCCACTAGGGGGCCACAAAATTCATTTTCACAGGCTGCAAATGGCCCGCGGGCCACATGTTTGAGCCCACTGGGGACTCTCTGACTTTCCTCAGAGAAATGACTTCCTTATATCTGTCTTCACTTTGTCTTCTCCTATTTGTTTATTTACAACCTCGATCTCAGAGCTGGTCCACGACATCTCCTTTTGGAAATGTTTGCCGTATACACTCTCCTTGTAAAAATACAAATCATACAATATCATTCAGGCAGTTATTATTATTCATTGCTAAAAAACCAACTAAATTAGATAATGTATAGATTATGTTTATGGGATGGGAGACTACACGTTTTTCCATATTTCCAACTCCTTTTTAAGCTGTAATTATAATAATTTGTAAAAACATATTGAAATTTTAAATACACAAACACACAGTGAAACTATGGCCAATACTGTTGCTTGATTGTGTATTTATGTTTACATTTGTTTGTGTATTTAAATACTGGAAGCAAGAAGAGTGTCTTCATAAAGTCATGTAAATATTGTAAACACTGCTGAAATGAAAAAGAGGCGGGAGACGAGAAGTGGATGGAGCTAAACACAACTGCAGGTCTTTGCTTCAGTGTCCTGTCAAGTTTGAGTCCAGAACTGTAACAGGAAGTGCCCCGTGACAAAAAGGAAGTGGTTTTCTCTGCTTCCTGTTTGGGTCACAACAGCGTAACACAGAAGATGGTGATGAAGGAGAGTTAGAGCCGGTCTTCATCACGTTCATACTAACTCTGCCTTTAAGTAAATATGAGAAGGATATATACTTTATTTATCCTCGTAGGAGAAATCCAGGTGTCCAGCAGCAGGAACACATGCATCCACACAAACAAAGAAATACTTCATTCTAAAAGTTACTAGCAATAGTTATAAACTGCAAAAGTACTTTAGCTTATATACACCGCATCTCGAGTCCGGACTTGAACTAGGAAGTACGATCACATTAGTCCAGTTCTCAGGTCTCTCCATGGCCTCACACCAAAGGACATCTGTGACATGTTAGTGCCATATGAACCAACTCTGAGGAGCACAGGGACTGGCCTCCTACAGGGACTCTGAGGAGCACAGGGACTGGCCTCCTGCTGGGACTCTGAGGAGCACAGGGACTGGCCTCCTGCTGGGACTCTGAGGAGCACAGGGACTGGTCTCCTGCTGGTGCCCGGAGTCAGAACTAAACATGCAGCGTGTCAGATTCATGCAGCTAAAATCCGGAATAGTCTTCCAAAAAATGTGAGACAGGCTTCTTCTCTGAGAATGTTTTAACCTGGATTTGAACAGTCTTGTTTAGCTGCTCTTTCTCACTCTTTTTAATGTACTGTGATCATTTATGATTGTGTTAAGTTTGAGTTGCCTTGTGTCTGAGCTGTGCTATACTAACAAACTTGCCTGTATGTGTTTAGGTCAGAGCGGTCTGGGGAAGTCCACCCTGGTCAACACTTTGTTCAAGTCCAGAGTGAGCCGAAAGTCCTGCTCCAGCGCTCACCACGAGAAGATCCCCAAGACGGTCCGCATCCACACAGTCAGCCACCGTGAGTGCAGGACGTGACACCAGTTACTGTGGCCACGCCCCCGACCAACCAGAAGTCCCTCATTTATCACTGAAAACAATCATTGGTGTTTTTCACTGGTGTCGGACGCCAAACGGCCCCCACCTTTGGCAGCGACCCCTGCGTGGTTTCACTGATTTGGTCTCTCTCTCTGGTCTCACTCTATAGTATCTCTGGCCGCGCTCTATAGTCTCTCTGGTCTCGCTCTGGTCTCGCTCTGGTCTTTTTTTTTTTGGTCTGTCGCTCTATAGTCTCTATGGTCTCTCTCTGTGGTTTCTCTCTTGTCTCTCGCTCTATAGTCTCTCTGGTCTCGCTCTGATCTCTCTCTGGTCTCTCGCTCTATAGTCTCTCTGGTCTTGCTCTGGTCTTTCTTTCTGGTCTGTCACTCCAATCTCTATGGTCTCTCTCTGTGGTCTGTCTCTTGCCTCTTGCTCTATAGTATCTCTGGTCACGCTCTGAGCTCTCTCTCTGGTCTCTCTTTCTGGTCTCTCTCTCTGGTCTCTCTCTGGTCTCTCTCTGGTCTCTCTCTGGTCTCTCTCTGGTCTCTCTCTGGTTTCTCTCTGGTCTCTCTCTGGCCTCTCTCTCTGGTCTCTCTCTGGTCTCTCTCTGGCCTCTCTCTCTGGTCTCTCTCTGGCCTCTCTCTGGTTTCTCTCTCTGGCCTCTCTCTCTGGTCTCTCTCTGTCTCTCTCTGGTCTCTCTCTGGTCTCTCTCTGGTCTCTCTCTGGTCTCTCTCTGGTTTCTCTCTGGTCTCTCTCTGGCCTCTCTCTCTGGTCTCTCTCTGGTCTCTCTCTGGTCTCTCTCTGGTCTCTCTCTGGTTTCTCTCTGGTCTCTCTCTGGCCTCTCTCTCTGGTCTCTCTCTGGTCTCTCTCTGGTCTCTCTCTGGTCTCTCTCTGGTTTCTCTCTGGTCTCTCTCTGGCCTCTCTCTCTGGGTCTCTCTCTGGTCTCTCTCTGGCCTCTCTCTGGTCTCTCTCTGGTCTCTCTCTGGCCTCTCTCTCTGGTCTCTCTCTGGCCTCGCTCTCTGGTCTCTCTCTGGTCTCTCTCTGGTCTCTCTCTGGCCTCTCTCTCTGGTCTCTCTCTGGCCTCTCTCTCTGGTCTCTCTCTGGCCTCTCTCTGGCCTCTCTCTCTGGCCTCTCTCTCTGGCCTCTCTCTCTGGCCTCTCTCTCTGGTCTCTCTCTGGTCTCTCTCTGGTCTCTCTCTGGTTTCTCTCTGGTCTCTCTCTGGCCTCTCTCTGGTTTCTCTCTCTGGTCTCTCTCTCTGGCCTCTCTCTCTGGCCTCTCTCTCTGGTCTCTCTCTGGTCTCTCTCTGGTCTCTCTCTGGCCTCTGTCTGGTTTCTCTCTGGTCTCTCTCTGGCCTCTCTCTGGTTTCTCTCTCTGGCCTCTCTCTCTGGCCTCTCTCTCTGGTCTCTTGCTCTGGTCTCTCTCTGGTCTCTCTCTGGTCTCTCTCTGGCCTCTCTCTGGTCTCTCTCTGGTCTCTCTCTGGCCTCTCTCTCTGGCCTCTCTCTCTGGCCTCTCTCTCTGGCCTCTCTCTCTGGTCTCCTTCTGGTCTCTCCTTATTTTGAATAGCATAGCAATAGCGTTTCTTTTAAGGTAGTTCATATACTTCCTGTCAGAACCGGCTCAGAGAAGCAACACAAAGAGTGATGTTGTGTTCATGACGTAAGGAAGAGAAACTCACACCCAACATGGGATACACACACGCTCATCCCATGCCGCACACGCTCATCCCAGATCGCACACTCACACACTTCACGCTGTCACATTTATGGGATTGTAAACGAACAGTAGATCTGGGACAGGAGCTCCAGACTCTGAGGATTTGGACTATGACCATATTTGGGCGCTCAGACAAAACTTGACCCAAAACCTGAACCTGTGCAGCGCTTTTCACATGACAGTTTACAGAGTCTGTCACCTAGTATTAGCTCACACACACACGGACGGACACACACACAAGGAGACACACTCACACACACACACACACAGACACGGACACACACAGACACACACACACACATACACGCACACACACGGACACACACACGCACACGGACGCACACACACTCACACACACAAGGAGACACACACACACACACGGACGCACAAGGAGACACGCACACACACACACACGGACACACACACGCACACGGACGCACACACACTCACACACACAAGGACACACACACACACACACGGACGCACACACACGAAATAGTATGCTTTGTCTGCTTCTTGTTTTACAGCCTTAAGTCCATTTATTGAGTTACTTGGGCAACTGCTACTACTACTACTACTACTACTACTACTATTATTACTTATACTACCACTACTACTACTATTAGTATTACTACTACTATTACTACTACTACTACACTCATGTCTGTGTGTGCAGTGATCGAGGAGAAGGGGGTGAAGATGAAGCTGACTGTGGTGGACACTCCAGGTTTCGGAGACCACATCAACAACCACAACTGGTGAGCACATGTACACACACACAGACACACACACACACACACATTTGTTACACACATATCTGTTACACACACACATACTTACCATACTTCTCCCAGCAAACTGACTCAATTTTTGTTAAAAAGTGTGTGTGACTATGAAGTATCCTCTGACAGTGAGGTGTGTGTCTATGCGTGCGTGTGTGTGTGTGTGTGTGTGTGTGTGTGTTGCAGCTGGGAGCCCATCGTGGCGTATGTGAAGCAGCAGTATGAGAGGTTTCTGAGGGAGGAGCTGAGCGTGAGGCGCAAGAGCAGCATCCCAGACTCCAGGGTCCACTGCTGCCTCTACTTCCTGCCTCCAACTGGACACAGGTCTGAGACACATACACAGGGACACACACACACTCAGAAACACGCAAACATACATCTACTTATTGCCTCCCACTGGACACATATCTGAGACGCACACAACACAATACAATACAATACAATACAATTTATTCTTGTATAGCCCTAGGTCACAACAGAAGTCATCTCAGAGACTTAACAAAACCATTGAAATCACCAACACAGGTCAGAGAATCAACAGTTAAAACACATGAAGAATACAGTATAAAGCACACACAGAAGAAAATGTCCATACATGTTGTAGAATGCTAAAGTGTCCTGATCATCACCAATCCTTTCTGTTGGACACTAACTGTCCAACAAGACCCTCCTGCATCGACAAGGAAAAACTCTTAAAAAACCCAGTGGGAAAAAGTGAGAAACCTTGGAGAACTAGGGAAACCCACAGGGAGGGAGACCCATATGAGAAAGGGATCCGATCCTCCGGACGGACAGGCTAATGATCCAGGACCTAAGCTAGCTACAGAACGTGGACCAGTGGCCGCTGAACGTGGACAGGTCCGGTGCAGGACCGAAGCACTCCCAGGCGGGTCGGGTGGGGCAGTCCGCAGGTGTAGATGGAGGAGGCCAGGCTCAGAGATCCCGTCATCGTACCATGAAACAGACAATGGGACAACGGGTGAATAGCAATGAACAAACTACAGTCAAAATACTAATAATACTAAACAGATAAAGTAGGAAGGAGGAGAGGATAGTGCTCAAGTTACCATACTTCTCCAGCAGGGGGCTCCCTTTGCAGCTTGACTGACAGTCTGAGGAGTTTAGCCTTCCCTGAGTCTTACCTTCCTAGCCATATGCTAAACTAAAGAGGACTGTTTTAAACCTAGCCTTGAATAAAGAGAGCGTATCTGAAAAGAGGTGAGACAGCAGCAGCCACGGCTAGGCTAGTCTAGGCTACAGCACCAAGATTCATGGTTTGCACACCAGGTGTGCCAAACCGATCCAGGCAAACAGCCTAATTATATATTATATATACTATATATATTATATATAATGCATAACATAACATTCAGCATAATATATAACATAATATACAACATAACACAATACACAACATAATACATATATTGTATAATATAAAACATAATATATAACATAATACAGCATATATATATAATATATACACCATATATTATATATTACCTAATTATATGCTAAATTAAAGTAGAGTGCTTTAAGCCTGGCCTTGAATGTGGAGACCGTATCTGCTTCCTTAAAGAAGCTATACCCGATTTTTTTTCTAAGTAGTTCATAAAAATGCTTTTTACTACATACAAGTTGTATCATAATACATCATTTAATTGAAAACTTGAGGTAATTGATTCAGCTGTGTAAGAATTACAAGCAGTGAAAAGTGCTGAGTAGAGTCTGAGCGGGCCGCTCTTTCTCCTCCGCTCACAGAGCGAGCAGCGAACAACCTGCGTCCTCTAGTCTCTACAGCGCTGCTCAACACCAGGACTTCGACTTCAAAATTCGAATATAAATTCTAAAATAAAAAATGATGAACAAAATAATTGAATAAAAAAATGTGAACAAATATTAGACAACCCTTGTAATTCGAAATGTATTTAATGACTGCAAATAAAATAGTGAGCTCCCAAAGGTTTCACCGGGACGTGCTAGGCAGGTAACAGCTAAGCTAGCTAGTTGTTTCATGGTAACTTCCGGGTTTTTCGCAATCGCTTTTTGTCACTTTGAAACAGTATTTTTGTTATGAAAACGTTAACAGCAAATTCTGAAATCATCCGTGCATGTGTGTTAAGGATGTATATGTGTACTGTATTGTCCGATTGACGTTTAATGGTGTTGATTGATAGATATGTAGTTGTTTATTGAGCGTGGCTAGCTCCGCTAGCTCCGTTGGCTTCTCTACACAGACGAGTGTGTAGTGACAGGTGCTGATAGCTTGTACTTGCGGAGTAATGGCAGTATTTTACACACCTGAATTACAAACAGAGGTTGCATTGGGGCTTCGGTCATTATTGGTTTGAGAGTTCTGTTATCAAGAAAAAATTATCGGAAGAATTGCTGCTGCTGCTTTGAGGAGCTCTATAACAAATTATAATTCAATATTAGAATATATTCTAAGGTTTTAAATTAATACATTCGGACGCAAAACTAGCGGTATTCTTTTACTTATATATTGTGTTAGCAGTGCGTTGCTTTAGTGCCATTTCATCGGTGATTGTTGCACAGCTCGCAAATAAAACTAGGTGGCTCTGTGTTATGAGAGCGTAGGGGAAATAAGAAGCCATTGAGCGAGTTGGGGGGCGGTGCTAAACATTCAAACATTGCAGAAACGGGTATAGCGCCTTTAACATAAATGGAGCTGATTCCACAGTAAAGGAGCTTGGTAGCTAAATGCTCTGCCACCAACAGTGACCTTTGAGACCTTAGGGACCACCAGACGTCTGGCGTTTTGTGAGCGCAACGCTCGACTTGGTTGATAAGACACTAACGTGTCTTGGAGATAAGAAGGTGCCAAGCCATTTATGTTTTTATATGTTAAGAGAAGGATTTTAAACTTTATTCTGTACTCCACAGGGAGCCAGTGGAGTGATTTTAACACCGGAGTTATGTGCTCCCTCCTTTTGGTACCTGTTAAGATCCTAGCTGCTGTATTCTGAACGAGCTGGAAGCTCTTCAAAGAGGCTTTAAGCCTAGCGTACATCGACAGAGAAACTGGGGACAACTAGTTGCAAGGCGGCTTTTGGCAACTGAGAGGAGATGGTGGGAGATGATCAGTTGCCGAAATCGGTCGATGTGCGCGCTCTTACAACTGGAGATGAGCAGTCGGTCTCCAGTTCCAGTCAGTTGCCCGTGTTCTACTTTTCGGCAACTAGTTGTCCTCAGTTGCCCCGATGTGCGCGCTCCATGCGCCGCTCCAACAACGTGTGTGTATTGCGTGTATTGCGAGCCCGCAACAGTTTGTTGTCAGAAAACACACTGTGGTTGAGGCCAGTTGCTGTCGATGTACGCGCTGTTATTCAAGAGACTGGCCTGCGACTCAGAGTTGCCCGTTTTCGCCAGATTGTCGATGTGTGCGGGGCAGCAACTCAGAGGCGACGGATATAATCAGTTGCCAGTCCGATGTACGCTAGGCTTTAGGGCACGCTGCCAGTAAAGCGTTACAGTAGTCGAGCCTTGAGGTGACAAACGCGTGAATACGTTTTTCCGCTTTACTTTTAGGAAGGAAATTCCTAATTTTAGCGATGTTCCGTAAGTGAAAGTACGCCGTTTAGTTGCTTGGCTTATATAAGCCTTGAAGGAGAGTTCTTGGCATAGACTGTATATATTAACGGACAGAGTCACGCCTATCTCCGCCGTTCTAACTAATGGGCCAAAAAATTTGCTCTACTGGAGCAATCCAAAATGGCCGCGAGTGGTCCCGCTCACAAGAAAATTGTGAAAAAACGCATCTGCGCATGCGTCAGCCGGCGCAGCTCCATTCATTTGAACGAGAGACTTCAAAAATTCACAGCAAGTAAACTAGAGTGGACCAAAAAAATCCACCCCCCTCAGCATTGACACACATGTGGAACGGAGCTTTGGGCCAAGAGCCAACTTTTGGTCCATCCTGTAAAGACGTTTTTGAGAGGTCTGCCAATGCTATATGTTAGCATTGGCTAATTCTACTTCTGGGTCCACCCCCATCGGCCCGGGGTGGTATTGCAGCATGTCAGCGCACGTCATTCTGGCCACTTTTGAGCTGGGACCCGCCCCCACTGGTTCTTGGTCAAAAATGACTCCAAGATTCCTCACAGTGTTACTGGGTATAATACTGACATTATCGAGAGTAACCATCTGGTTAGCGAGGGAGTCACGCAGGCGCTTCGGACCGAGTAGGATCACTTCTGTCTTCTCCGGGTTGAGAAGTAGGAAGTTAAGAGTCATCCACATTTTAAGGTCCTTTATGCAGCACTAAGCTTTTCCAGCTGATCTGTCTGATTTGGCTTCATCGACAGATAAAGCTGGGTGTCATCTGCAGCAGTGGAAATTAATTCCATGCTTTTTAATAATGTTTCCTAACGGCAGCATGTAGAGAGTGAAAAGAATCGGTCCGAGTACCGAACCCTGCGGCACACCGAATTCCACTCCAGAATAAGGCGACGAGTTCTGATTTACGTTGACGAAGTGATACCGATCTGATAAATAGGATTTAAACCAGCCAAGGGCTGTTCCTCTCAGACCTATATCACATTCTAGCCTCTGCAGTAGAATGCTGTGGTCTATTGTGTCAAATGCAGCACTAAGGTCCAGTAGGACCAGCACTGACACTTGTCCATTATCAGCAGCTAGTAGTAAGTCATTTGTGACTTTGACTAGTGCCGTTTCAGTGCTATGATGAGCTCTGAATCCTGATTGAAAGACTTCAAACATATTATTTTCCTGCAGGTGGCAGCGAAGCTGCTCAGCTATAAGTTTTTCCAGACACAGCCACATTGTATGGATGCGTTTATTATATTTACGATAGGCTCAATTATCAAAGGAAGTATGTCTTTGAAGAGCCAAGTCGGGACTGCGTCTAACATGCAAGTTGAGGCTTTTGAGGATGTGACCACAGACACACACACGCGCACACACAGAGACACATCAGCGTGTCCAGTAGGGGGTAGGACACACACAGAGACACACACACACACACACAAACACCCTACCAAACGGGGACCTGGTTTCACACAGCCTAAAGTTTAGCACAGTGGGTTTGAGCTGATTTGACTTTTTTCATCACGTATCTTTTCTGTCGTCCAGGTTACGGCCCATCGACGTGGAGTTCCTCAAACAGCTGGGCAGCATCGTTAGCATCGTGCCGGTCATCGCTAAAGCCGACACGCTCACACTGGAGGAGCGGCTGGACTTCAAGCACAGGGTGAGTCCCTCTCTCTGGTCCATCTGCAAGAGTTTGGAACAATGTCAGACGATGATTTGAAATGATGCAATATTAAACCACATGTGTCACTTTACTTTGTCCCATATCCTCATTCTGCTAATGTACAGATGTAAACATACTGCTGCTAATGTACAGATGTAAACATACTGCTGCTAATGTACAGATGTAAACATACTGCTGCTAATGTACAGATGTAAACATACAGCTGCTAATGTACAGATGTAAACATACTGCTGCTAATGTACAGATGTAAACATACTGCTGCTAATGTACAGATGTAAACATACTGCTGCTAATGTACAGATGTAAACATACTGCTGCTAATGTACAGATGTAAACATACTGCTGCTAATGTACAGATGTAAACATACTGCTGCTAACATGTGCAGATGTAAACATACTGCTGCTAATGTACAGATGTAAACATACTGCTGCTAATGTACAGATGTAAACATACTGCTGCTAATGTACAGATGTAAACATACTGCTGCTAACATGTACAGATGTAAACATACTGCTGCTAATGTATATATTATATATTTCTTGCATTAGAATATAAAGGATTTTATACTTGCTTCTTTATTGTACTAAAGGATTTTCTACTTCTGGGTGGATCATGGCGACTATTGGTCCTCCTGATTGTCAATCATTCTGGTGAGACGTGCTTGTCCAATAAGACCACAGAGTTTTTCTCAAAAATGGAGAGGGCGGTTCTTTCCTAAAATTTGGGAAAATATTCCTATAGACCTTTAAGTTAGAGATTTTATACAGTACTTGCTCCTTTGTTATTCTAAAGTTAGAGATTTTTATTTTATTTGTGGTCCTTACTCTGGTCCTAACTCTGGTCCTAAACCCACAGATCCGGCAGGACCTCGCTGCTAACGGGATCCAGGTGTACCCCCAGAAACAGTACGAAGAGGACCCCGAGGAGAGCCTCCTGAACAGCAGCATCAGGGTGGGTCCCAGGTCTCAGGTCCCAGGTCCCAGGTTCCAGGTCCCAGGTCTCAGGTCCCAGATCTCAGGTTCCAGGTCTCAGGTCCCAGGTCCCAGCACATCCACAAATCACACACAAACAAGAAGCAAATGGTAAAGATTGCAAGTTATGAAGTCCTTCAATAGCAGCAAGTAAAACTGGCCGGTCTGAAGCAGGACTAAAGCAGGTCTAAAGCAGGTTCTAAGCAGGACTAAAGCAGGTCTGAAGCAGGTCTAAAGCAGCTCTGAAGCAGGACTAAAGCAGGTCTAAAGCAGGTCTAAAACAGGTCTAGAGCAGGTCTGAAGCAGAACTAAAGCAGGTCTAAAGCAGCTCTGAAGCAAGACTAAAGCAGGTCAAGAGCAGGTCTGAATCAGGACTAAAGCAGGACTGAATCAGGAGGAGGGGGAGAGAGGGAGACCAGTGTCTGTGTCTGAAGTGTTCTTCAGTCTCTCTTCTGTCTGCAGGAGTCCATCCCCTTTGCTGTGGTGGGCACAGACCGGGAGCACCAGGTCAACGGCAACAAGGTCCTGGGACGTAAGACCAAGTGGGGCGTGATCGAAGGTACCACTGCACTGACATCATCATTCATTCTTCACCTGCATTCTACACAAGTCAGATTTTTCACATTGTAAAACAGGTGTCAAACCGGCCCTCAAAGGGCTGGTGAGGCTGCGGGTTTTCATTTCAACCAAACAGGAGCTCACCAGACTCCACCGAGTGAGTGAGTCCAGTCTTAGACCCCATTTAGACAGTGCCGCTGCAAAGAAATGAGCAAAAACGACGAGTCTCTTTATTTGAAGTGCACAGCGTTTACATGAAGACGGAAAACAATGTAGTTCTAGCGCCCGGCCAGTAGGGGGAAGATAGATGGATTGATAGACCTTTATTGTATTATTAGGCCGTGGAACTTTTCAACATGACACACGCGTGACCCCCAGCAGTAAAACCACTTCCTCAGAATTCTCTGTGTAACGTTCAGAGTACACGTTAGCAATAGTCGACCTGCCGCCAATGTTGTTTACGTTTGTTCTTGGCGCATGTCCAAATGTACGGACAGGAAGTGCTGAGGTCATAGCAGCAGAGAGTTCACACAGTGGTGATACAGCAGCGTCCCTGTTCTATTCCACTCTGGAGGCTGGTTCTCAACGCTTCCGTTTTCACCTGAAACACAGTCTTCATGTAAACAAAAGGCCAAACCGACCCAACTCCAACTTTTTACTGTTGCAACATCATCTTTACGTGAAGTCTTGAGGAAATGGGTGGAGTCTCGGGTGCTCCTGTTTGGTCAGAATTGATTTCTTCAGCCTCAGCCCTTTGACGAGCGTTTGACACCTCTACTCGAAAATATTACTATAACTATCACAATTTGTTGGCAGGTCACTCTAAAACAGGGGTCTCCAACCTGTAGCTCGCCAACGCCTTTCAGGAAACTCCCCAAAGGATTCATGAATTTGACTCATGATCCTGAATGATCACATTTTGAGGCATTTAATTAAACTGCACATGTTTTCATTATGTCTGAAGAACATTCATGTGAGTCAAGTGTAACTGATGTGGGTGTTTGTTTTCCCGCAGTGGAGAACCCGGCTCACTGTGACTTCTCTCTGCTCAGAGACCTGCTCATCAGGTCAGTCCCTCATCAGTTCTGCTGCTTCACCTCTGACCCCAGGCACTACAGCAGGGTCGGCACTAGATCATATACAGAATCGGGACGGAAGCGGAAGTAACAATCCTACTTTCAAATTAGTTTTAGACTAATAAGTCCTTAAGTGGTGACTGGTTAAGTTGTAGGTGTCTGAGTAAGATGGTTAAGGTTAGGGTTAAGGTGGTCTGAGTAAGATGGTTAAGGTTAGGTTTAAGGTGGTCTGAGTAAGATGGTTAAGGTTAGGGTTAAGGTGGGTCTGAGTAAGATGGTTAAGGTTAGGGTTAAGGTGGTCTGAGTAAGATGGTTAGGGTTAAGGTTGAGGTGGGTCTGAGTAAGATGGTTAAGGTTAGGTTTAAGGTGGTCTGAGTAAGATGGTTAGGGTTAAGGTGGGTCTGAGTAAGATGGTTAAGGTTAAGGTGGGTCTGCGTAAGATGGTTAAGGTTAGGTTTAAGGTGGTCTGAGTAAGATGGTTAGGGTTAAGGTGGGTCTGAGTAAGATGGTTAAGGTTAGGTTTAAGGTGGTCTGAGTAAGATGGTTAAGGTTAAGGTGGGTCTGAGTAAGATGGTTAAGGTTAGGTTTAAGGTGGTCTGAGTAAGATGGTTAAGGTTAGGGTTAAGGTGGTCTGAGTAAGATAGTTAAGGTTAGGGTTAAGGTGGGTCTGAGTAAGATGGTTAAGGTGAGGGTTAAGGTGGTCTGAGTAAGATGGTTATGGTTAAGGTTAAGGTGGTCTGTGTAAGATGGTTAAGGTTAGGGTTAAGGTGGTCTGAGTAAGATGGTTAAGGTTAGGGTTAAGGTGGTCTGAGTAAGATGGTTAAGGTTAGGGTTAAGGTGGTCTGAATAAGATGGTTAAGGTGGTCTGAGTAAGGGTTAAGGTGGTGGTCTGAGTAAGATGGTTAAGGTTAGGGTTAAGGTGGGTCTGAGTAAGATGGTTAAGGTTAGGGTTAAGGTGGGTCTGAGTAAGATGGTTAAGGTTAGGGTTAAGGTGGTCTGAATAAGATGGTTAAGGTGGTCTGAGTAAGATGGTTAAGGTTAGGGTTAAGGTGGTCTGAGTAAGATGGTTAAGGTTAGGGTTAAGGTGGTCTGAGTAAGATGGTTAAGGTTAGGGTTAAGGTGGGTCTGAGTAAGATGGTTAAAGTTAGGTTTAAGGTGGTCTGAGTAAGATGGTTAGGGTTAAGGTGGGTCTGAGTAAGATGGTTAAAGTTAGGTTTAAGGTGGTCTGAGTAAGATGGTTAGGGTTAAGGTTAAGGTGGGTCTGAGTAAGATGGTTAAGGTTAGGGTTAAGGGTGGGTTGGGGTTATTCTATGGGAGTGGCTTGTTAAGTTTAGGCATGGATCTATTAGTTTCGGCTTAATTTGTTTATATTTACTTCCGCTTCGGTCCCGATTCCGTATATGATCTAGTGCCGACCATTAAAGCAGTGGGAAGTGTGAGATCAATCCAAACTCAAGGCCTGGTGCTTTACATTTCACAAAGAGATTTACATTTGTGAGATTGTCCACAAACGTCTCCATGGAAACAATAGAAGGTTCTTGAATACGAAAAAAATATAAAACAGCTTGTTCTGCTTAACTCATTGACTGCCAGCCCATTTCAGAACAGGTACTCCCATATTGCCAGCCGTTTCTGATGATTTCTATTGATTTTTCAAGACCCACAGAATATTGTGCACTATGACTATCTGAAATCCAAAACCATATTCTGAAAGAATGGACTGTCTACTTTCATCAGCAAAAATAATTTTGTTTCTAGCTTGTTTCGTTCCCCTATAATCCCGAGTTGAGTAGAGGTACGTTTTATTGAAATCACCAGAAAGCTGAGAAAAAAGAGGCACAACCAGTGGGGGAGGGTCCCAGCTCAAAAGTGGCCAAAATGACGTGCTCTGACATGCTGCAATACCACCCCGGGCCGATGGGGGTGCACCCAGAAGTAGAATTAGCCAATGCTAACATATAGCATTGGCAGACCTCCCAAAAACGTCTTTACAGGATGGACCAAAAGTTGGCTCTTGGCCCAAAGCTCCGTTCCACATGTGTGTCAATGCTGAGGGGGGTGATTTGGTCCACTCTAGTTTACTTGCTGTGAATTTTTGAAGTCTCTCGTTCAAATGATCAAAGTTGCGCCGGCTGACGCATGTGCAGATGCATTTTTTCACAATTTTCTTGTGGGCGGGACCACTCGCTGCCATTTTGGATAGTTCCAGTAGAGCACTATTTTTGGCCCATTAGTTTGAACGACGGAGATAGGCGTGACTCTGTCCGTTAATATATACAGTCTATGGGCACAACATGTGCACCTAACTGTTTTCAAACCATTCAGAGAGAAATGCTGCCATCTGCTGGCTCGATGAAATATTGCTTCAAGCCAATCCCCATACATATTAGATACAATAGACATCTGGGAACATGAAAATAGCGGGACACGCAATTGACACGTTAAAACGTCAATGGCAGACAACGTTACACGTCAATGGCGGTCAATGAGTTAATGACTTGTAGAGGAGACAATATGAAGAGGTCTAATACCGGCATGTCCAAACCAAGGCCCAGGAGCCGACTGTGGCCCCTACAAAGTCTGTAAGATCATAAACATTGTTCACAATGGCATCCAGCCAACTTCAGCTCTGCCAGCGTATGCATGCGGCACCTCGCTGTTGGTTTTATTGGTAAATGGGTGATTGTCAGGGGAGAATATGGATGAAGATTACAGAATAATCAATGAAATCCCTTTTTGGCCTGAATTAAATATATTTGACCAATTGTATAAAATCTTCAGACAAGAAAGTTGGAATTCACACACATTGATATTCTGGAATAGGCCGGTGAAAGAATCCTTTGAATAAATACTATTACAAATGAAATAATCTGCATTAAGCCTCTCAGGGCCCAATTCAATTTCATATGGGGTAGTAATATACAATCCTGACTTGTTTTTAGAGAGACGTTCACAGGCAATGCATTCAAGGATGTTGCAGATTTGCAACATTGGACCACTGTAATAAATAGAGATGACCCTGGGACAAGTCCAGCAGTGGTACTTCTAAGTAAAAAAAGGTCAAGAATTTGGATGTGGAGTAGTTCGGTAAAAAGAAATTAAGGGGTTGCAAATCTGCAACGCCTGCCTGGAGAGGGTTACTCTAGATTGTGGTCATGGATGTCAGAAAAATTATGATGTGCTGATCCTAGTGAGAAATCACCCATTTACTACATGTACGGACAAAAAACATGTTGTATTTGGAGCCAAACCTTTGTCATTCAGCCAACTTCGTCTCTGTCCATCATGAATCCATACGGACATGTCATACCTCATTTTAAAGCTCAGACCTCTCCAAAACCAGTCAAGACGGTTTTACTATGTGGGTCTTTTGCCCCTGGACAAGTCTGGTTAAAGTGCGGACGTCCCTGGTCTGATATAAACGCTTCGGACGGTCATGGGAAACCTGGAAAAGTCATTGGGCCTGGAATTCCACTTTCCAGGCCCTGAACCAGTTTGGGAAACCTTTTGTAAACCAGGATGTCTTAAAAAGGTCGCATCCAAACGTGCAGCTGTCATGTTAGTGTATGTTTGCATGTAGAGACATATTCTATAATCTACACTGATATAAGCTCAATAAAATGGGGTTTTTGAGGCTGCCGTTGGTCAATAGCAGACATGTCATTCAGTGTCATCCAGTCAACTTCAGCTCCATCAGCACAGTCATATTGGACCTTGTTGTAAAGCTCAAAACCTTTGGAATTCAAACAACAACTTTTTTTTATATACAATCTGACATTTGTTTTGTTTTATTGTGTCGCATCAGTGTAGATGTGGTGTGAATGTTAAAGATCAGAACAGCCCGAAAACCGTAAAAACAGTTTGAGAATCCATGTGGTCGACCCCTGGACACGTGTGGAGACCGTCAGTGGCCTCTTTGGACATCATTTATTGCTTCACCCTTTAATGTTCACTTCTTGAAGAAAGCAATGCATTTTTTCTTGATTATTTTAGATGCAGAGGCACTTATAACGCTTTTTTAAAATTATCAGCTTTAACAAATGGTTGCGCTGCAGTTTGATGGTAAAAGTGCCTAAAAGTGAGATTTCAGTTCCAAGCTTAAAGTAGATATTGTGACAAACATTTGACTGATTAGAATTCTATATTACATAAATAAGATAAAGGCACTGTGTCTCGAACCCTACCTTAGGAACGGCTGGTCTGCTTAAACATACTGTGAGACTTTGCTGACATCTGCTGGAGCAATGACAGAACTGCAGCTGAACAAAAACAATTCATTCATCGATTCAATGGTTAACAACAGATCAGAGAATTATACAGTTCCAATCAAACAGAGGAAATGCAGTAATAACAAACACATAGAGACATTGGTCCAAAGGGAGTGGTCCAGAAATGTTAAGAAATGTCCCGGATCACCACCATCTTGCATTAGCCACGAACCACTGAAAAGAAACCCTGAGGTTGAAGATCCAGGACTGAGGTTGAAGATCCAGGACTGAGGCTGTAGACCCAGGACTGAGGCTGTAGACCCAGGACTGAGGCTGTAGACCCAGGACTGAGGCTGTAGACCCAGGACTGAGGCTGTAGACCCAGGACTGAGGCTGTAGACCCAGGACTGAGGCTGTAGATCCAGGACTGAGGCTGTAGATCCAGGACTGAGGCTGTAGACCCAGGACTGAGGCTGTAGATCCAGGACTGAGGCTTTAGACCCAGGGCTGAGGCTGTAGACCCAGGACTGAGGCTGTAGACCCAGGACTGAGGCTGTAGACCCAGGACTGAGGCTGTAGACCCAGGACTGAGGCTTTAGACCCAGGGCTGAGGCTGTAGACCCAGGACTGAGGCTGTAGATCCAGGACTGAGGCTGTAGATCCAGGACTGAGGCTGTAGACCCAGGACTGAGGCTGTAGATCCAGGACTGAGGCTTTAGACCCAGGGCTGAGGCTGTAGACCCAGGACTGAGGCTGTAGATCCAGGACTGAGGCTGTAGACCCAGGACTGAGGCTGTAGACCCAGGACTGAAGCTGTGCAGTGCAGGACCTGATCTCTTTTGTCTCCTCTTGGTGGAGACCTGCGCTCTACGAGGGCTTTTCTAGTTATTGATTTCATATTATAAAGAATATCATGCATATGTAAAAACTCTTCAAATACATTCCAAAGGTTCTGAGCATCAGGTAAAGCATGATTATTTTGGTGGAGCTGAAGTTGGATGGATGACACTGTAAAAACAGAGGGCCTGTGTTTGGACATGTGTGAGCTAGAAGAAAGTAAACAAAAGTCTGCATGTCATTTCTATGTGAGTTGTTGAAGTTGGTCCATTATTATCGGTACAGCTCTAACTCTAACTTGATTAACGACGTCACAAGTTTAATGGTCACTGGAATTTATTTCTAGACAAAAAATTACAAGAATGTATTTTTAATGCAAAACAAAACATTTCATACTTGTCAAGAAAGAGGAATAACCCTAACATCTTTCTGATCAGACAAAATTAAACAATTCAATTTCTTGGCATCGAACTGTTCACCTCCAGAACATTGTTTGGTTGTAAAAGAATAAAAAAATAACACTTAATTTATTTTTAAGTGTTATCCAGCTGAACTTGTCTTCTCCAAGTTTAACTGGAGAAAGTTGTTTTGTATTCAGGTGCAGACAGACACAAAGAGAGAGAGATACTGGATAGAAATGCTAAAAGTAATGACACATCCGGGTCCATGAGCAGATTGACCTTTCTGAATCTTTATTACTCCACTTCTTCGCACTAAGAGGTTGTGTATTTGTGATCATTTTTATGTGGAGTCGATCATTTTGTGTCCAGTTGATTTTCCCCAGACAGATGGCCTTCAAAATCAATCTGCATTTATAGCATTTTATTAGATTTTCTGTACTGAAAGTGCCCTCAAGAAGGTCTTCTTTTAGGATTTTTATACTGTTAAAGATGCACTGCAAATGTTTGAAAAATAAGTCTGAAAATTGGCCAAATGTATCTTAATTTGAACACCTTCTGACTGAGCCTTCAAACAAAAATTGCCAATGAGTCAAGCAAAATGATCTTGTATGAAAAAGATGCACAACATTTCTTCATCGGAATGAGAAAATAAAGCATCAGTTCTTGAAATAAGATGAAATGGCTTTGTAACATTGGTAAAAATGTGTTTTAAGACAGTCAAAATGTAATCTAATTAAGATTAAAACCACTCCATTCAAGCTACTATTACTTCAAATGTTAACACTTTTTGCAGTGTGCCTCAGATTTCCTCTTTTCTCAAAAACAAACATAAACGTGTTTGTGTGCCGTGTTTGCGTTTGTGTGTGTGTGTTTGTGTGTGTGTGTGTGTGTGTGTGTGTGTGTGTGTGTGTGTGTGTGTGTGTGTGTGTGTGTGTGTGTGTGTATGTGTGTGTGCGTGGACAGGTCTCACCTCCAGGACCTGAAGGACGTCACCCACAGGGTCCTCTATGAGACTTACCGCGTCCGGAGGCTCAACGAGGCCAACGTGGACTTCAGCCAGCTGTCCGGACCCCCGCTCAGCCCCACCCTCTCCGGACCTCCCCCCTCACAGTGCGACTCCGACAGACAAGAGCCCGAGAGCCAGCTGTGACAGTGCCCCCTGGTGGACCTGCACGTGTAACTGCAGCCCTTAATAAGACTGATCACAACCGAGCATCTGTCGACCGCTGAAAGTGCAGCCCGGGATTTCTGGTCACTCCATATTTATAGTAGTTTCACACCAGTCCGTGAACAAATGTTGAAGAAAATGTGTAAAAATAGGCAGATGTATGAGTTCTAAAATAGAAGACCTCCACCTGTTTAAAGGGGACGTAACAAACAAACTGCTAACAGCTTTTGACCTGGTTTGATGTTTTCTCGTGTCGTTTATGATTTATGCTTTATGTTTGAAAAGTTCAAGGGGAAATAAGTAAAGTGCTCTTAAAGAAATAGGCCACGCAACATGAACAAAGTTAGGAACATGAAATTAAAAAAAAACAATGGAAAAATCTGTCAAAAATAGTCTGAGGCACTAAATACCTGAAACATTATTAACTAACGAAGCATGGACAAAAAGGAGCTTCAGGGTGTTCCACCAGCTCTACTTTACTCTGGTATATACTGGCCTACTCTGCTCTTGTACATACTGGCTTAATGTACTCTACTCTATACAGTAGCTAACACTGGCCTACTCTGCTCTAGTACTGGCTTACTCATTCATTTTCTACCCCTCTGCTACATCAGTGGTGCCACAGCATCAGCGAGCTTCAGGAAATGTGGGTTAAGTGTCTAGCCCAAGGACACAACGACAGAAGACATTAATGGGAGCAGTTGGAGTAGGTCCCGAGGTGGGCTTGAACACACAACGTTCCACCCCAAAGGCCAATGTTTTACCAACTGAGCTACTGTTATTCCCACCCTGGCTTACTCTACTCTACTGTATACTGGCCTACTCTAGTATATAATACTCGGCTTACTCTACTATACACTGGCCTCTAGTATATTCTGGCTAACGCTACTCTACCCTACGCTACTCTAACCTGAAGACGACGACCACATGACGATATTGGAATGTAGACACAGACTCCTTCACATCGGTTCTATGCAGAGGATTTGATTCAAACTTCCACCACTCCAGCCCTTTGAGGACCGGTTTAACCTCCTTGTTCAGAAAGGTCGACCAATCAGATTTCTTTGTTGATGAAAGTGTTGCACAGATGTCTGTGGCACGGTGGCTGAGTGGATAGCACTCTCGCCTCTCAGCAAGAAGGTCCTGGGTTCGAATCGGACCAGGGCCTTTCTGAGTGGAGTTTGCATGTTCTCCCCGTGTCTGCGTAGGTTTCCTCCGGGTACTCCGGTTTCCCCTACCACTAAAAATATGTCCAATAGTTCTGGCATGCGCCTCCTGTACTGGCGACCCCGCTCCCATCTCTGTGTGGAGTGAGAGACAAATGCCCAAAAAAATTAACAATTGTAAACTGCTTTGAGACTCAGATCTGCAGTGAAAAGGCGGTATATAAATAAAGATTACTACTACTACTACTACTTTAGGTTGAGGTGTTTAGGCCTCTGTCAGGAGCCAGGGCCGGTGTAGTGCCCTGGGACACATGTCCAGATGACTGGTCAGGACCTTCACTTGACCTACAGGATGTTATTGGCTGATGGGGGAGTCGGCGTGAGGAAACCCACCCAGAAACACGCAGAAAGCCCCAAGTAATGGATAAAGCAGGGGTGTCAGCAGGATTTCCATTTCCACCCATTTCCTCAAGTTAGTCCAGTTTTAACCTGAAGATTTTAGGAAATGGGTGGAATCTGGTGTGTTCCTGCTTGGTTAGAATGAAATCCTGCAGCCACACTGGCCCTTTCAGGAACCGTATTGACACAAGGATTTTGAGAAGCGATCAACTCCCTCTAGCGGTAGAAGTGGGGAATTACATCTTGCTATATTAGTAAACATGGCACAATGTAATCATGCAGTTGAGAAGAATATCAATAAACTGGATGATTTCAGTCCAGAGTCCGGAGACACAAGAGACATGTTTGTGCTAATGTTGGTGTCGCTGGAGATATAACAACTCCAGGCCTGTTTTAGATAAGACAGACCTATATTGCCTTATAAGGACCTAGCCCTAACATGTTTTTCCAATATTGTACGAGCAGAATTCTGAAACGATTGTCAAAACAGGGTCAGAAAAGGTAAAAGGACAAATGTACTGCACTTAGATGACGTAGAGACTCACACTTCCACAATAGATCGAGAATGCTTATATTTCTGATGGGATTTTTGTACATTTCACACTCGTTTGATAGAGATTCTTATGTTTGATCATTAATATGTGTATGGATTTTATATGTGGGCAAACCAAAACAATAATGTAAATAATGTCATCACTTTTGTCAAAAATAATTTTACTCAAATAAAGTGAAAGTGAAAGTTTACGAACTATGAGGAGTCGTGTCTTGTCAAATGGTTTCACTGGAGGTCATTCATTCTTTATGGGAACTTGTGAACCCAGAAGTACAGACAGTAAAGTCAATTGTGACTTAATGAAGCTTTTGGATTATTTTATAAAATCTAACATAAACATTAAACGACAGTGGCTCAGTTGGCAGAGCATTGGCCTTTGAGCCTGAAGGTTGTGGGTTTGAGCCCACCACAAGACTTTCTCCACTGACTCCCACTGATGTCTGCTGTCACCACAGTGGGGCGGCTGCGGCTGTAAAGAGCCAAACTGCAGTTGTGTCCTTAGGCAAGACACTTTACCCCCATTGCCTAGAATGAGTCTGGTGTGTGTGTGAATGGTTGGTAGTGGTCGGAGGGGCCCATGGTACAGACTGGTTGCCTCGCTTCTGTCAGTGTGCCCCAGGTCAGCTGTGGCTACAGTAGTAGATTATCATTATTATTATTATTAAACATAAATATTTTACTGAATGACTGAGTAATGTGAGGGCCCCGATCACATGACCACAGTCTGAGGGCCCGATATACTGTAAGTGCATAGACATCAGATAGACATGTTTGCAAAATGGCACACATTGTATATCAAGCCATTTGAGTACCAGATTGTTAAAATTAAGTTATCCACTTAAAGGTATATGGGAGGATTTTCCCAAATCTTAAAATAACTGCCCTCTCCACTTTATGAACAGAACTCTGGGAGGACCAAAAGTCTTGATGATGCACCCATCGAGTAGAAAGTAGAAAATCCTCCTATATATATTTTGTACAAGTTAGCCACATTAGCCTGACCAATTTCTCAGACAACTAAAAACTCCATATTAAAGATGCATAAAGCAATCTATAACACTATTTTTTTGTTTTGATGAATCTGATGAATATTTACAATTTTACTGGCTGTTTATTTTTATTATCAAAATGTTAATAAAAGAATAGAGTCGGACATTTCACATTGTTTTGAGTAATATTGTACATATGCAATAAGTTTAGAAGCTAAAGTAGTGTCTCCGCTGTTTTGCTAACTGTACTGTAGCATTAGCATCCAAAGTGCTAATGCTAAAGTACACTGTGGTGAAGGACTGTGATGATCCAGGACACTTTAACATTCTTTATCAACATGTGTTCTATATTCTTGATGTGTTTTAAGTGTTAATTCTCTGATCTGTGTTGGTGATTTCAATGGTTTTGTTAAGTCCTCTGAGATTTAGGACGATACAAGAACAAAATGTATTGTATTGTAAGTGTCACTCGCACTTAATGTAAACGCAGAAAAAAAAAATTATAGAGAAAACCATGTAGATTCTCCATGTTAGCAAAACAAAGCTAGCACACGTTAGCCACAGCTGTTTTCATTTTATTGACGCACACATCAAGATCAAAAATATTATATTTCCAGTGTATAATGCATCCGACGTCAGTCAAACCAAATGTATTACATACAGAGATGTAAAAATGCAGTGCAGAGTGAAATAAAACATGTTTTTCTCTGGTTTGAGCTGTGTCTTTTAGCTTTAGTCACAAATTTCCAAAAATCGCCTTGTGGTCAAACAGAAGGCCGATAATTCAAGTACAATTGGAATTTCATCTGTTAAGAAAAAACATTTGCGTGACATTTGGCAGCTTCCGGTGCGTACCAGTTGTCCTCGTAAATGTTACATTTTCGGAGGAGTTTACACGATCGTCCAAAGTCCTGGTTAGAGGTCAATAAACAAATAAAAATAAAACAACCTTCTACCTCGGACTCAGAGAGCGTGTGTTTAAAGCCCTGTTTCCACCAGCCCTTTACTCTACTCTGCTCTACTCATTTCTAATCAGCTCTACTCTTGATTGAGAGCATTTTTCACCGGTTTAACTGTTTAACGAGGTACATTTTTGGTACCGACTTGGCCCTGGTTTGAATCAGGCCGAGCTGAAGTGTTCTAACTGACAGTGATTGGCCAGAGAGCAGCTGGGAACCGTGGTTACTGGATACTGGTTTGTTGTGGGTAGGTTGCTAGGATACGATACCAGATACTAAAGCATAATGGAAACCCAACCTGGTAGAGCAGAGCCGAGAAGAGCAGAGCCGAGTAGAAAAGGGCAAAGGGCTGCTAGAACACCGGACATGGCAGCGCCCTCTGTTCGGGAAATGTTAAAGCTGGGGTACGTAACTTTTTCCAAAACCAACACATGTATTTTTCATGTGTCTCATTAGTAAACGTTTAATCTTTTTATTATGGAGACTGCTTAAAGCTGGGGCACAGAACTTTCCACCACTTCATGTAGTTTTGAATCTGTCACATCTTGAGGTTAGCTTCATCAGACGGAAAAGTCAATATGGAAGATCCTCTGTTCCATCCGAATTTTAATTTTAAATGTCTCACAAAAACCCTGTGAATGTGTATCACCTCAACAAAGACCAAAGATTGCAAAAGTCCTGAATCCCAGATGTTGGCGGATTTTTGTTGCCTCAAAAATGAATCTTCCATTTTGAATTTTTTTAAACATAGAAAGAAAGTGAAAATACAGGGCCTGAAGTTCAGTGAGAAAGATTATTCAAATATTAGATTTCAGTGCAAAGAAACCCACAAGATTAAATTCATTTAAATATCGACCCATCGTCCATCCTCAGCTCTCAGCCAATCAGCTCTCAGCCCATGTTTTGTATGGTTATGAAGACAGAATATAGTGGTTTGATTTGTTCACAACCATTTAATCTCTCTGTCACATTAAAACAGTTATTGATGAAATTAGAAAGTTAGGTACCTCAGCTTTAAGTTTCAGACTAATGTCCACTTGAGCTTTTCATTAAAGGAGACATATAACATTCAGTTTCTGTACTTTTTTAACATATTACAGTTTCCTGGTCATTCTTTGCCCAAACTTGCCCTCCCATAAATGTTTACTGTTTGTGTAATGTTTGACAAAATGTCTGTTTCACCTACCACCTATCCCCGCCCTTTTCTCGACACAACACAAAACCAAAATCTTGTACTATGTCTCCTTTAATGATAACGATTAAGTAAAAAAGTGTAAGTGCTTCAAATGTCTCAACAAACGCTGCGTCACCGGATATCCGCTCCAGATGTGGGCCCCACAGTGAGGGCCCCACAGTGAGGGCCCCACGGTGAGGGCCCCACGGTGAGGGCTCTAGAAGATATCGAATGACTTGGATTCAGGATGTGTTTATTCTAAATGTTTGTATAACTGGACAGAGGTGGAAGTCTGTCACAGACCAGTTTAATCATGGAGCATATAGTAGGAGTGAACTGACCGAGTGTGACATCATCACAGCCTTAATGTGGAAGAAGCCCATCTGAACAGAAGCTAGCCGGAGCCAATCTCCTTATATGGACATTTGTTCCGACGGCGTAACTATAAGCCAGATCTCAATGGAGGATGTAAGTAGATGTTGTAGGCAATATATATATTTAAAATGTATTAATATTTGAATTTAAATTCGGTTTAAAATGTTTATACCAGGAAACAAATCTTAAAGCTGAGGTACCTGGATTATTGTTTCATCTTCTTTGTCGGTCATTGTTTGTCTTGTAAAAGTAAACTATAATGAACACAACATCCTGTCTAGAAAGAGCCCTGTGAGTCACTATTGGACTCTTTGGGCTGAGAGCTGATTGGCTGAGAGAGGATGGTCCACTCTTCTCACTTTTCTGGCTGAAAACACAGGCAGGATCCATGTCCGTGACTTGAAAGTTAGGAACCCCAGCTTTAAGCACAGTATGTAAGTGTAAATACTTACTTGCCACCTCTGGTTTTTGACCATTTCCAACACATTATTTTGTTCTCAAGGAATCAAAACACACACAGAGAATAAAAACCTGAATTCAAGACACTTGAAACCTGACCAGAGATTACATTTTTTTGCAGTGCACTGTGTGGAAATGCTGCCGTCCACTTTAGGGCGCCGTGTTGAAGAAAACACGGCCCTCACGTTCCCCCTCAATAAATAAACACACTGCTTAAATAAGACACAAACCAAAAGTCAATAAATAACTGAAATAAATAGAGGTATGTACAATGGACAAATGAACAGCGCCCCCTGGAGGCTAAACCCATGCACAGTCCGCTGCTGTTTTGGCACTGTCTAATACTGGCCTGGTCGCGGGGCCCGTCAGAGAGGGTCCGCCCCGAGGTCTGTGGATGTCACGGCAGATCGGCAAAATAACACACACATGGCCCGCCCCTTCTGTCGGAGGGCTTGGTTTGCAAACTATGAAGAATGCAAGAACGAATGGATCTTTGTTGGTTATGGATGTGGCTCTCACTTTTTGGCATATGCATAGAGTTAGATGAAAATCCACGTCTGCAGAGTTATGGAGTAGTTTTAAGTCTATCCTTCACGTTTTTCCACTTGTAAAAGCGAGGCCCTGGAGACGGTAGAGTTGCGTTTCCGTGCATTTAATACAAACTTGGTATCAGGTACTGGCCAATCGGAATGAAGGACAACTCTGGAGTACGTCCCATTACTACAGCAAGGCAAGCTGAAATTGGACTAGAATTTTTAATGTGATTCACTAGTAACTTTGTCACTAGTCACTTTACCTGTTATCAGTACTACTACAGTACTACATATCTGATATTTACTGTTATCAGTACTACTGTATTATTTCATATCTGATAATTCTGCCTTCCACCGTCACTTTACCTGTTGATATCTTACTGTATTATTCATATCCATCTGATAATTCTCCCATTCAAGTCACCTTACCTGTTGATATTATTTCTGATGTTTATTCTCATATTCTCATATTCTCCGCTGCTAATGTATAATATAGACATCTGTAAATACTCCGAACCAAGTGCAATTGTAGCCCAGATTTTCTTATTTTATTTTATTTATTTTATCTTAAATTTATTGCCTATTATCTTAAATAATAGACTTTAATGTGTGCAATCTGAGTGCTCTTATTTCCTTTCTCTGCTGTAATGTGCAACGATGAAACTGAAATTTCTCCACTGTGAGACTAATAAAGGTGTATCTTATCTTATCTTATCTTATGTCAAAGCATAAGGAACTGTATCCAGAGTTGTCTCACCAAACTAATGTATAAAAAGTGAGAATGAGATGATCCAGGACACTCGACATTCACCGACGTTTATGGACTTTGGTCATCTGCCCCTTATGGACCAATGGCTCTATGTGTTTTTATCATTTCTTGAGTTTGAGCTGTCTGCTTCTCCGGGATAACTCCTGTTGTGATTTAGGGCGATACAAAAATATATTGAATTGAAGTCACACGCAACTGGTTCTCTGACATCCACAGACCAACGCGGCCCCTCTAAGTCTCCCGCACAAACCGACGGCGGAAACCTCCAAACAAATTGAAAAAAACCTAAAAAAGGCGAAATGGTCCCGCGTTATCTTCCAGGGACGAATTGGAAATGTGTCCGCGCTGTCGAAAGCCCGGCTCCTGAACAAGTCACACGGAACATTCCATCATGGAGTCGCTTCAACTCAAGAGCTGCGCGTCAAAATAAGAACGAAGCAGAGCCGATGACGAAGCACTACCACAAACGATGTCCAAATGAGTTCAGATAACGCACATCGCAAATATGTCGGCTTGATTTAAGAAGAGAAGAGACTAGGGCTGCACCACGTGGGCCAAATATCTATGTATATATTGGATTTTGTTCAGAGAAAAATAATAACTTTAGCCGTTACCTCAGACACAATTCCACATATTTCAGAAAAAATAGTTCTAACCATGTATGTACAGTATTATATTATGAATGCCAGCCGTTTTTGATGATTTCACTTACTTTCAAGACCCACAGAATATTGTATGCTTTGAATATGTGAAATATGAAACCAGATTCTGAAAGATTGGACTGTCTACTTTCATCCGCAAAAATATGTTTGTTTCTAGCTAGTTTTGTTCTCCTGAAATCCCCAGTCGAATAGAGGGAAGTTTGACAGAAATCACCAGTGTCAGACAAATACGTCAAAGGCAGTCAATAAATAAACCTGTCTCCTCAGAGACTAGAGGCCACCCGCGGTACTGCATCTTCAATTCACACGGGCTGTAAGGAGATTTCCTCAGACCTCAGCGTCACTAAAACGGCTCGTCCTCAGCTCACAGGGAACTACAGCTTTCTCAAAGGTCGGATTTTGTGAGTATTTTAGTGTTTCATTGAAATCTGTCGGTTTTCAATAAATCCACACTTTTGTGCAACGAATTCTTCCCGCTCTCGTCTCGCCACGTTCTGATTGGACAGAACGCTCACACGGCAGACATATTGGAGACCCTGTGCTTGGTTCTAACCTAAAGTACAAGCATTTGATAATAGACATAAAAGATTCACTGCAAGAATGTGGATAGATATGGATAATTGAATTGAATTAAATCGTTTCTATCTTTCCTTCCAGTTCTTACAGTCAGATGAGTTGTGCAACACATTTTGACGTAACGACATAAATAAGGCTCCTGCCGAAAACGAGAACAAAGAAACTTCTCACACTCAACTCAAGTGTTTTTTGCTCATTTTGCAGTAATCTCAGTCTCTATGCTTGACTTACTGTGTCTGACCGTGCAGCCCTTTGAGACTAGTTCAGGCTGAAATCAAGATCATATTTGAACTCATCTGGACATGGTGTTTGCGGTGAAGAGCTGTAAACATGATCCACGGCGCGAGGGGAGTGTCCACGCGTCCCGGGACGGCGATGAGGAGGCGCAGCGGCGTACTTACGCGTGTCTTCTACACTTATTATTCTGTACAGGTGTGGATGGCTCTCCTGCTCTGTACACGCCCGTTATTTTACACGTTCCCTCTCGGCATAAAAAGAGCCAGAGGGGAGGCCGGCTGCGGGACCAGACGTCGCGGACAGGGCTCCTTTCTCTCCCCCCCGAGCGTCCCGTGGGGGGTGGCGTGGTCATGAGGAGGGCGGGGTGAGGTGGGGGGGTTACTCGATGACCATGCAGTGGGGCAGGTGCTGGGAGTAGTACTTGAAGAGCTCGGCCGTGGCCCCGGGGCAGTTGGTCAGCTCCAGCTCCTCCAGGTCCTGCAGCTGGATGAGTCCGGACAGACCTGTGGTGGTCAGCAGGGGGCAGCCTGGAGACACACACGGAGTCAGCATCAAGACCGAAAACACACTGAGGTCATCTAAAATAAGCAAGGCCAAACTAAGGCCCGTGAGCCAAATGTGGTCCACTGTCTCATTCATTGTGGCCCTATGCCGCTAACACAGAGCAGCCGAATACTTTCACAGTGTTATCCAGCCAACTTCAGCTCGGTTCAGTTCAGATTAGTTGAGATCAAGGCAATACATTCAGTTAAAAAAAAAGGTATTTGTTCTTCTATACCAGACAGTAGTAAGTTAGAGATGTTTTTACCGTCTGTCTTCTTCACCGTCAAAACACGTAAAGGGAATAACATCGCTAACTTACTATTGTCTGGTTTAGAAAAACAAATACCTTCATTTCTACCTAGAAGACAAAATGAACCTTCGTAAACTAATACATACAGTTGAAACAAGAAAAACACCAACGTTTAAGTGTTATATAGAGCTCAAAAGGAGAAGGCAGAAGTAAAAAATACTTATTAACGACTTTAATTAAACTAGATGTTCTCAGTCAGAGTAATACATGTAAACATTTCAGAAGTACCTGAGACAAGAGTAATATATAATACTAGCTCCACCAACATAGTCCAGCTTCACCTTGTTGCAAAGCTCAGGACCTCTGGAATCCAGCCTTTCATAATATTTATATGAACTGGCTGTTGTTTTTGATTGTGTCACAAAATCTCAGATATGGCACTGACTAATGAAGCTGAGATGTGAATAATTAATGTGACTCATATCCCATTTTAGAGCCCAGAGCAGCACGAATTCAGTCAAAATAATTTGCAATCCTGGTTGTGAGCCCCTGGACACGTCTGGGGAACTAAAGTGGACCCTTTTACTAAACCTTTAGGACACCCCTGATCTACAGTATGCAGCTGTTTAGCCCTGTTCCCACCTGCTCCACTCAGCTCTACTATCCCTGGGTAGAATAAAGCTCCTCCCAACAGGTAGTAAACAGAAATGTCATGTATAACGGGGACTTGTACGGCTGCACTACCGTGTTGGAAAGTGACATTTATATGTGTAATAATAGAATGCATGCATAAACATAGGCTATAGATAAATCCATCTGTAGCACACGTCACACTGGGGCTCAGGGGAAAGTGGACTGTCCTCAGAACCAGAACCAGACCCACTGCAAACACAGAGCAGCCTTCAGCCTCAGCACACCATCGTTCCCACATAAATAGGTCGGAACATGAGTAAGACACAGTATACAGTGAACAGAATACAGTATAAATCAAAGTGCAAAAGTGCCTAAGTGCGTACCAGCGAGGGAGAGCAGACGCAGACTCCTCATCCCAAACAGGTGCTGCAGCCCAAAGTCCTGCACCTGGAACACACAAGACACAAGCTCTGTCACACACACACTCATAGACACACTTACTCACTTACAGACACAGACACACACACATATATATACACGCACAGAGACACACACACATACAGGCACACGCACACAAACAAACAGGCACACACACACACACACATACAGACACACTCAGACACAGGCACACGCACATACAGACACACACAGACACACACACACATACAGACACGCACAGACACACACACACACATACAGGCACACACACGTACAGACACGCACAGACACACACACACACACACAGATACAGACACACACACATATAGATACACACAGACACACACACGCACATACAGACACACACAGACACACACACACATACAGACAAACACACATACAGACACACACACACACACACACATACAGACACACACAAAGACACACATACAGACACACACACATACAGACACACACACACACATACAGACACACACAAAGACACACATACAGACACACACAAAGACACACATACAGACACATACAGACACACACACATACAGACACACACGCACAGACACACACACACACACACACACACACACACACACAGACACACACACACACACACACACAGACACACAGACACACACTGCGACACACACACACACACAGACACATACAGACACACACATACACGTTTTTGTTACCTGGTGGGTCCCTTTGACAGGGCCGTTCAGAATGGGACCCATAGACATAATCTTTTTTTACCAAGACTTTAAGTAATACAAAACAGTCAATAGAAACCAAACAACTATTTTAAAGGAATTTTATTTTAGATTTTGTTTTCGAATTGCAGTGATTCTATTTTTGACATAGAATTTAATGCCACTCCATGTCCGATGTCTAAGGTCATCTGGTGAGGCATTAATGCAGGCCAGGCAGTGAGACTTCCCAGGGACCTTTCCAGTCTGTATGAAAGGTGTCATGGTCTTCTCCACAGCCTTCACCTCAGATGCAGACCATGGCTTTCTTACACGTTCTAGGGAGAGAAATAAAAATATATTAGCAATATACACTCCCAGGGTGAGGACCAAGCAGCCTGGCTGTAATCCCCCACCTGGTACACTTACCAGAAGGGGCACTGCCACTACCATGGGGTGCATCTGGATGAATGGTTGAAGGTTCTCCGCTTGAAGTTTCTTTTAGCCCGTCCGTTTGTGAGAGGATCTCTACTGCTCTCCCTGTCGCACAGAAAATAAAAATACAAGTGGCCTTTAGGGGAAAAAAATCATACATATTTTAATAATATCAAGAATTACCTTCAGGCTCAATTTGTATCTGGTCGAGGCTCTTTCCTTCGAATTCCGTCACTCTTCCCTGCTCCATGGCCATCAACACTTTGCTGATTTTGGCCAGCTCCAGTGTCCCCTCTGGTAGTCTGTAATATTGCCTGTGGATGCGAATGTCATGGCCGAGGAAGTTGGCAAGTATGTCCATCTCATTCTCTTTCATATTGAGAACTGTAGACATAGTAGCTATGTGCTTTCTAAGTTTGGTTGAGGATAGCATCTCTGGATGCACCGCACCACATTCTTTGGCTACCTGGCGTAGGGAGTCTGATCCCCTGATGTGGGTGTCTGCGCCCGGGCGGGAAAAGAAGTATGGGTTATGGTCAGAGATGGAACAGGCCCTTCTGTTCTCCACCAGCACCTCCATCGAAGCAATCATTTCAGGAGTCAAAAGAACCGGCACTTTCCGACTTCTTTTCCCTTTAATTTCAATGCGTTGAAAATGCTGACACAGCTTTTTCTCAAGTTGGGACAGTCCCAGAGCAATGTCAGAATGGATCCCAGTCTTACTTCTTAAGGTAAAGGCTGTCAGTGGCATCTTTGAAACCTCACCTTCCCTTCTTCGATTGAAAATGATGACCTCACAAAGAGTCAAAACTGCCAGTTTAGACCAATGCTTAGACGTTGGCTCACTTATTAGGGTTTGCACATATTCAGGTCGACATACCTCAATATGTGCATGCATGGCTCTAACGTCCTCAGTCAGAGGGAGCAGGTCCGGAGTGTTCCACTTGGCTTGCCGGAGGGTCTGTAGGGCAGCAGAAGAAACACAGACGTCCCACCTCTTCTCAAAAAGCAGCCGGCTTCGTTGGAGGTTTTTAATAAATAGTTCATCAACACAATGCTCCATTTTTGAGTCACATTCAAGAATATCTGCTAGCTTTCTGAGGCTATGGCCGAGTTTGAGGGCCAAGGATGGAGTCTTGTATTGATTTGTTTCCTCATCATATCCAGCCACAGACCTGACTGCATCAATCACATGGTTAAAGTTGGAAGGAATAAAGAAATCCTTAATTGTTTTCAGTTTCCCTGCGGTTTTTGCTTCGTTAATTAACCTACCGACTTCTCTCATTTTCTGCCTAATGTAATCATGCTTTGTCTTATCATGCCCGTGTTTTAAGTACAGGTGCTCTCCGAGTCTCAGAATCCCCTTTTCTGCTTTGACAACACCCGTGACCTCATCCTGATGCATTGCCGAAATTAAAGACCACAGCTTTTTGCTGATGCCCTCCGGTACAGGCTGGGCTAGGGAGCAGAGGGACTGGACCCTACTTCTACCTGGTTTAGCCTGGGCATCTTTCTGTGAAAGCCGGCACCTGGCCACATGCCTCAACAGCGACTTTCGCTTAAGCAATGCCCCACAGTCTATACAGTGCAAAAACTCACTGGATTTAACTGGGGAATTTGGCTGTTTAGCTGGGACTAAAGTTCCAATGCCGGCCTTTAAAACCTCAAAATTGTGCTCACGGTTTCCACTATTCCTGATCAAATCAAACTGAAGTTTACGTGCTTTAGATTTCACAGGTAGAGCCAATGCTCTGGCTACGTCACTTTCATTTCCATGTTTTCTAGTCAAATGACGGGACATTTTGTGGCAGGACATTGAACAGTAGAGGCAGAAGTGTCTCTTGCTGTATACTCGCCCCCCATTTTTCTTCTTTTGCAGCTGCATGATAACAATCTTATTTGCCTTTGGTTCGTCACTTTCCGAGTCTTGAAGAAAAGTGTTTTTGATTTTTCTTTTTCCATACTTTTTTACAGGTTTCTTCTTGACAGTTAAATCGTCAGAATCTGAGTCGACTTCATCAATTAGGGACTCTTGACTAAGCTGCACAAACAACAAATAATTTGTAATCATTCTATATAACAATTTGAAGTCATGACTTGTAGTCAGCACTTACCAGTGGTTTGTAAGCGTGCGCTTCAGTGTGCTCCTCCATGATTTCTTGCAGCCTAATGAACCACACACTTGCACCTTTTTCTAGCCTGACACCTGATTTCCTCTGTTGTGCTGCTCCATGATTGGCTCCAGCCTGCTGGACTGAAATTGCCCCAGTGTGCCCCTCCTTGATATCCCGCAACCCACCACCAGGGTTCCGACACATAACACACTTTTTTCAGGAAAGTAAACCTCCAGGGGTCCTTTCCATATTTTTACAGAGACTGCATAAGGACCGTTAGAAAAGCATTACCCATTGATTATTAAGCTTGGACCAGTGGGGTCCGGTGTTCGGGCCCCACCACGTAAAACCAGTCCCCATGACGTGAGTGGAATCTCAGGTTATGGAACCCACCAGGAGTTGAAAACAAGTGCACACACACAGACACATACAGACACACACACACAGACATACAGACACACACGCACAGACACACACACACACACACACACACACATACACGTTTTTGTTACCTGGTGGGTCCCTTTGACAGGGCCGTTCAGAATGGGACCCATAGACATAATCTTTTTTTACTGGGACTACTTTAAGTAATACAAAACAGTCAATAGAAACCAAACAACTATTTTAAAGGAATTTTATTTTAGATTTTTTTTTTGAATTGCAGTGATTCTATTTTTGACATAGAATTTAATGCCACTCCATGTCCGATGTCTAAGGTCATCTGGTGAGGCATTAATGCAGGCCAGGCAGTGAGACTTCCCAGGGACCTTTCCAGTCTGTATGAAAGGTGTCATGGTCTTCTCCACAGCCTTCACCTCAGATGCAGACCATGGCTTTCTTACACGTTCTAGGGAGAGAAATAAAAACATATTAGCAATATACACTCCCAGGGTTAGGACCAAGCAGCCTGGCTGTAATCCCCCACCTGGTACACTTACCAGAAGGGGCACTGCCACTACCATGGGGTGCATCTGGATGAATGGTTGAAGGTTCTCCGCTTGAAGTTTCTTTTAGCCCGTCCGTTTGTGAGAGGATCTCTACTGCTCTCCCTGTCGCACAGAAAATAAAAATACAAGTGGCCTTTAGGGGAAAAAAATCATACATATTTTAATAATATCAAGAATTACCTTCAGGCTCAATTTGTATCTGGTCGAGGCTCTTTCCTTCGAATTCCGTCACTCTTCCCTGCTCCATGGCCATCAACACTTTGCTGATTTTGGCCAGCTCCAGTGTCCCCTCTGGTAGTCTGTAAAATTGCCTGTGGATGCGAATGTCATGGCCGAGGAAGTTGGCAAGTATGTCCATCTCATTCTCTTTCATATTGAGAACTGTAGACATAGTAGCTATGTGCTTTCTAAGTTTGGTTGAGGATAGCATCTCTGGATGCACCGCACCACATTCTTTGGCTACCTGGCGTAGGGAGTCTGATCCCCTGATGTGGGTGTCTGCGCCCGGGCGGGAAAAGAAGTATGGGTTATGGTCAGAGATGGAACAGGCCCTTCTGTTCTCCACCAGCACCTCCATCGAAGCAATCATTTCAGGAGTCAAAAGAACCGGCACTTTCCGACTTCTTTTCCCTTTAATTTCAATGCGTTGAAAATGCTGACACAGCTTTTTCTCAAGTTGGGACAGTCCCAGAGCAATGTCAGAATGGATCCCAGTCTTACTTCTTAAGGTAAAGGCTGTCAGTGGCATCTTTGAAACCTCACCTTCCCTTCTTCGATTGAAAATGATGACCTCACAAAGAGTCAAAACTGCCAGTTTAGACCAATGCTTAGACGTTGGCTCACTTATTAGGGTTTGCACATATTCAGGTCGACATACCTCAATATGTGCATGCATGGCTCTAACGTCCTCAGTCAGAGGGAGCAGGTCCGGAGTGTTCCACTTGGCTTGCCGGAGGGTCTGTAGGGCAGCAGAAGAAACACAGACGTCCCACCTCTTCTCAAAAAGCAGCCGGCTTCGTTGGAGGTTTTTAATAAATAGTTCATCAACACAATGCTCCATTTTTGAGTCACATTCAAGAATATCTGCTAGCTTTCTGAGGCTATGGCCGAGTTTGAGGGCCAAGGATGGAGTCTTGTATTGATTTGTTTCCTCATCATATCCAGCCACAGACCTGACTGCATCAATCACATGGTTAAAGTTGGAAGGAATAAAGAAATCCTTAATTGTTTTCAGTTTCCCTGCGGTTTTTGCTTCGTTAATTAACCTACCGACTTCTCTCATTTTCTGCCTAATGTAATCATGCTTAGTCTTATCATGCCCGTGTTTTAAGTACAGGTGCTCTCCGAGTCTCAGAATCCCCTTTTCTGCTTTGACAACACCCGTGACCTCATCCTGATGCATTGCCGAAATTAAAGACCACAGCTTTTTGCTGATGCCCTCCGGTACAGGCTGGGCTAGGGAGCAGAGGGACTGGACCCTACTTCTACCTGGTTTAGCCTGGGCATCTTTCTGTGAAAGCCGGCACCTGGCCACATGCCTCCACAGCCACTTTCGCTTAAGCAATGCCCCACAGTCTATACAGTGCAAAAACTCACTGGATTTAACTGGGGAATTTGGCTGTTTAGCTGGGACTAAAGTTCCAATGCCGGCCTTTAAAACCTCAAAATTGTGCTCACGGTTTCCACTATTCCTGATCAAATCAAACTGAAGTTTACGTGCTTTAGATTTCACAGGTAGAGCCAATGCTCTGGCTACGTCACTTTCATTTCCATGTTTTCTAGTCAAATGACGGGACATTTTGTGGCAGGACATTGAACAGTAGAGGCAGAAGTGTCTCTTGCTGTAAACTCGCCCCCCATTTTTCTTCTTTTGCAGCTGCATGATAACAATCTTATTTGCCTTTGGTTCGTCACTTTCCGAGTCTTGAAGAAAAGTGTTTTTGATTTTTCTTTTTCCATACTTTTTTACAGGTTTCTTCTTGACAGTTAAATCGTCAGAATCTGAGTCGACTTCATCAATTAGGGACTCTTGACTAAGCTGCACAAACAACAAATAATTTGTAATCATTCTATATAACAATTTGAAGTCATGACTTGTAGTCAGCACTTACCAGTGGTTTGTAAGCGTGCGCTTCAGTGTGCTCCTCCATGATTTCTTGCAGCCTAATGAACCACACACTTGCACCTTTTTCTAGCCTGACACCTGATTTCCTCTGTTGTGCTGCTCCATGATTGGCTCCAGCCTGCTGGACTGAAATTGCCCCAGTGTGCCCCTCCTTGATATCCCGCAACCCACCACCAGGGTTCCGACACATAACACACTTTTTTCAGGAAAGTAAACCTCCAGGGGTCCTTTCCATATTTTTACAGAGACTGCATAAGGACCGTTAGAAAAGCATTACCCATTGATTATTAAGCTTGGACCAGTGGGGTCCGGTGTTCGGGCCCCACCACGTAAAACCAGTCCCCATGACGTGAGTGGAATCTCAGGTTATGGAACCCACCAGGAGTTGAAAACAAGTGCACACACACAGACACATACAGACACACACACACAGACATACAGACACACACGCACAGACACACACACACACACACACACACACATACACGTTTTTGTTACCTGGTGGGTCCCTTTGACAGGGCCGTTCAGAATGGGACCCATAGACATAATCTTTTTTTACTGGGACTACTTTAAGTAATACAAAACAGTCAATAGAAACCAAACAACTATTTTAAAGGAATTTTATTTTAGATTTTTTTTTTGAATTGCAGTGATTCTATTTTTGACATAGAATTTAATGCCACTCCATGTCCGATGTCTAAGGTCATCTGGTGAGGCATTAATGCAGGCCAGGCAGTGAGACTTCCCAGGGACCTTTCCAGTCTGTATGAAAGGTGTCATGGTCTTCTCCACAGCCTTCACCTCAGATGCAGACCATGGCTTTCTTACACGTTCTAGGGAGAGAAATAAAAATATATTAGCAATATACACTCCCAGGGTTAGGACCAAGCAGCCTGGCTGTAATCCCCCACCTGGTACACTTACCAGAAGGGGCACTGCCACTACCATGGGGTGCATCTGGATGAATGGTTGAAGGTTCTCCGCTTGAAGTTTCTTTTAGCCCGTCCGTTTGTGAGAGGATCTCTACTGCTCTCCCTGTCGCACAGAAAATAAAAATACAAGTGGCCTTTAGGGGAAAAAAATCATACATATTTTAATAATATCAAGAATTACCTTCAGGCTCAATTTGTATCTGGTCGAGGCTCTTTCCTTCGAATTCCGTCACTCTTCCCTGCTCCATGGCCATCAACACTTTGCTGATTTTGGCCAGCTCCAGTGTCCCCTCTGGTAGTCTGTAATATTGCCTGTGGATGCGAATGTCATGGCCGAGGAAGTTGGCAAGTATGTCCATCTCATTCTCTTTCATATTGAGAACTGTAGACATAGTAGCTATGTGCTTTCTAAGTTTGGTTGAGGATAGCATCTCTGGATGCACCGCACCACATTCTTTGGCTACCTGGCGTAGGGAGTCTGATCCCCTGATGTGGGTGTCTGCGCCCGGGCGGGAAAAGAAGTATGGGTTATGGTCAGAGATGGAACAGGCCCTTCTGTTCTCCACCAGCACCTCCATCGAAGCAATCATTTCAGGAGTCAAAAGAACCGGCACTTTCCGACTTCTTTTCCCTTTAATTTCAATGCGTTGAAAATGCTGACACAGCTTTTTCTCAAGTTGGGACAGTCCCAGAGCAATGTCAGAATGGATCCCAGTCTTACTTCTTAAGGTAAAGGCTGTCAGTGGCATCTTTGAAACCTCACCTTCCCTTCTTCGATTGAAAATGATGACCTCACAAAGAGTCAAAACTGCCAGTTTAGACCAATGCTTAGACGTTGGCTCACTTATTAGGGTTTGCACATATTCAGGTCGACATACCTCAATATGTGCATGCATGGCTCTAACGTCCTCAGTCAGAGGGAGCAGGTCCGGAGTGTTCCACTTGGCTTGCCGGAGGGTCTGTAGGGCAGCAGAAGAAACACAGACGTCCCACCTCTTCTCAAAAAGCAGCCGGCTTCGTTGGAGGTTTTTAATAAATAGTTCATCAACACAATGCTCCATTTTTGAGTCACATTCAAGAATATCTGCTAGCTTTCTGAGGCTATGGCCGAGTTTGAGGGCCAAGGATGGAGTCTTGTATTGATTTGTTTCCTCATCATATCCAGCCACAGACCTGACTGCATCAATCACATGGTTAAAGTTGGAAGGAATAAAGAAATCCTTAATTGTTTTCAGTTTCCCTGCGGTTTTTGCTTCGTTAATTAACCTACCGACTTCTCTCATTTTCTGCCTAATGTAATCATGCTTAGTCTTATCATGCCCGTGTTTTAAGTACAGGTGCTCTCCGAGTCTCAGAATCCCCTTTTCTGCTTTGACAACACCCGTGACCTCATCCTGATGCATTGCCGAAATTAAAGACCACAGCTTTTTGCTGATGCCCTCCGGTACAGGCTGGGCTAGGGAGCAGAGGGACTGGACCCTACTTCTACCTGGTTTAGCCTGGGCATCTTTCTGTGAAAGCCGGCACCTGGCCACATGCCTCCACAGCGACTTTCGCTTAAGCAATGCCCCACAGTCTATACAGTGCAAAAACTCACTGGATTTAACTGGGGAATTTGGCTGTTTAGCTGGGACTAAAGTTCCAATGCCGGCCTTTAAAACCTCAAAATTGTGCTCACGGTTTCCACTATTCCTGATCAAATCAAACTGAAGTTTACGTGCTTTAGATTTCACAGGTAGAGCCAATGCTCTGGCTACGTCACTTTCATTTCCATGTTTTCTAGTCAAATGACGGGACATTTTGTGGCAGGATATTGAACAGTAGAGGCAGAAGTGTCTCTTGCTGTAAACTCGCCCCCCATTTTTCTTCTTTTGCAGCTGCATGATAACAATCTTATTTGCCTTTGGTTCGTCACTTTCCGAGTCTTGAAGAAAAGTGTTTTTGATTTTTCTTTTTCCATACTTTTTTACAGGTTTCTTCTTGACAGTTAAATCGTCAGAATCTGAGTCGACTTCATCAATTAGGGACTCTTGACTAAGCTGCACAAACAACAAATAATTTGTAATCATTCTATATAACAATTTGAAGTCATGACTTGTAGTCAGCACTTACCAGTGGTTTGTAAGCGTGCGCTTCAGTGTGCTCCTCCATGATTTCTTGCAGCCTAATGAACCACACACTTGCACCTTTTTCTAGCCTGACACCTGATTTCCTCTGTTGTGCTGCTCCATGATTGGCTCCAGCCTGCTGGACTGAAATTGCCCCAGTGTGCCCCTCCTTGATATCCCGCAACCCACCACCAGGGTTCCGACACATAACACACTTTTTTCAGGAAAGTAAACCTCCAGGGGTCCTTTCCATATTTTTACAGAGACTGCATAAGGACTGTTAGAAAAGCATTACCCATTGATTATTAAGCTTGGACCAGTGGGGTCCGGTGTTCGGGCCCCACCACGTAAAACCAGTCCCCATGACGTGAGTGGAATCTCAGGTTATGGAACCCACCAGGAGTTGAAAACAAGTGCACACAGACACACACACATACAGACACGCACAGACACACACACACAGGCACACACACATACAGACACACACACACACACATACATACAGACACACACACACACACACACAGACACAGACACATACAGACACACACACACAGACACACACACACAGTACCTGGCAGCACCAGCGCAGGTAGAGGCTCCGCAGGGATGACATGGTGGACAGGTATCCCAGTCCTGTGTCTGTGATGCGAACACACCTGAAAACACAGAGATCCCTGTGAGTCACTATTTGACTCTTTGGGCTGAGAGCTGATTTGCCGAGGGAGGGGGGCGGTCCTAAATCTGAAGATGTGACAGAGGCACATAAACCAAACGATGAAACAACTTTGACTGAAATGAGCCTTTGGATGAGGAACGCTACAACATGCGTAAAACCAAGTCCAACACCAGCTCCAGCAGCGCGGAGTCATGTGATCACTGTAATTACTGTAATGTGTCATGGTGTGGACTTCCTGTTGATTTATTTATTTATTTTTAATTATTTTTTTTTCTGTTGTCATGAGTTTTGCTTCCTGTCTTGTTGATTCTTTGCCCCTCCCTGATGTGCCGCACCTGTGTGTCCCTGGCCCTGTCCCAATACTCGCACCTCCATCTCGCGCCCCTCATTTGTGAGTTCCCGATGATGGGTGCGCGTCATGGATCTATAATAATAACTGGATAGGGTGTTACTAGCTTATAGCTGTCCCACCCACGGGCACAGGGGGCGCTGTGGTACTGCAAACTAAATTCTCGTGGGCTACCCAGAAAAAAGTCCCATAGAACTCAATGTAAACTAAAACAGCTCGACCTCAGCTGACAGAGAACCTGACAGAGAACCAACAGCTTTCATAAAGGTCAGATTTTGTGGGGATTTTAGTGTCCCTTGTCATTCTGAACTTTTTTTCTTCTTGAATCCTTCAGTTTTCTTTAAATCCACACTTTACTGCCTCAAACTCTGCTCGTTTCCTTCCCGCTCTGACTCCGCTCTACCGCTGCTTTGATCAGCAGAGCTTATTGGTCCAAATGCATGGGAGATAATCCACTGCGCAGAACCGGGCACTAGACGATGCCCAAATATAGGCGAGTTCCTCTGATATGTCAGCGCCCGTGAAGTCCCATGCGCTACTGAGCACAAGCCGTTTATTTGAAAAGGGCGCCATCTTGGATCACCGGGGCATGGTGCGAGTGTGTAGGGTAAAGTCCCAATTCTCCAGGGAGGTCTTTGGCCCCGCCCCCATTGCGCCCCTGATTCACACTTTGACGTAGCCTGCGTCTAAGCGGACTCTGGCGAAGGATATTGCCCATAATTCTTTGCGGTACACACCAAACCTTCGGGAAAATGCATTCAAGTGTACGTTTTGACATATATTTGCTGTATGTGTGTACATAGTTTTGCTGTTACTTGGAAAGAAGCATAAATGTCTGATGAAGAATTACGGACATTATATGCTAACAATTTCATCACTTTTTTAATGCAAACGATCAAATAACATTTTATTTAAACTTTACACTAAGTACAATAAACTTAGGATGTATAAAAACTAAACAGTAAGTTACCCACATTTAACTTTAAATTATACAGCTATCTCAAATTACGAATAACCAATATACATTTATTTTAACGTGTGTGGAGAAACTCATTAACTACTACTTTTGTTTCCCACAGGGTCGGACGAAATGACCTTTAATTTCTATAAAGTTTAGGTCCATTAATGACCATCTCTTGACGAGTCCATGACGTAACCTGCACTGTCCCAACTCCGCCTTTTTTGCTTTTAACCTGCCACTCAAACCCTTGCGTGAACTACAAACAAATGCACACTTGGTAGGGGAGTGTAGGGTGCAGAGGTGCAGTGTGGGTATTGGGACCGGGCCCCTGTGTGTATTTAGACCCTGTGCTCCTCTTGCTGTCGGTCCATTGTTGTTTTCCCCCATGTCTTGTTCCCAGTTTCAGTTTTAAATTACATTATTTTTGCAGTTTTTTCCTGTATTGCAGTAATGTGAGGCAGTCAATAGAACACCTGGGTAATATTCTACTTGTTATAAAAGGTCAGTTACGTGCGTTCCATTGCATTTTAACCCCAAACTAAATTGTGTTTTGTTTTTACACTGTCCCACCGTGAGATCAGCAGGAGAAAAATATCTGTGTATAGTAGCTGCAGTAGTAATGGTAGTAGTTTTACAATAGTACTGATGGTAGACAGTAATATTGTAGTGTCCTTTAACGGCTGCAAGTCCTGAGTAGCTTATTCATTTTTTTGTCGTGCTTTTTTCTGCCTGAGATGTTGCTGCAGTACAGTGTTCATGGTTTTACACTGGTCCAGACCAGAGCAGAGAGGATTCATGGTTCTAACCAAGTGGACCAGGTGAAAATCCACTGGAGGAATGCTAACTTTGGAAAGATTAAGCATTTAGCATTTTACTCCACCTCTGCTGCTGTGACCTGTCCTGCTCCACCCAGAGGCTACTCCACCTCTGCTGCTGTGACCCGTCCTGCTCCACCCAGAGGCTACTCCACCTCTGCTGCTGTGACCCGTCCTGCTCCACCCAGAGGCTACTCCACCTCTGCTGCTGTGACCCGTCCTGCTCCACCCAGAGCGCTACTCCACCTCTGCTGCTGTGACCCGTCCTGCTCCACCCAGAGCGCTACTCCACCTCTGCTGCTGTGACCTGTCCTGCTCCACCCAGAGGCTACTCCACCTCTGCTGCTGTGACCCGTCCTGCTCCACCCAGAGCGCTACTCCACCTCTGCTGCTGTGACCCGTCCTGCTCCACCCAGAGGCTACTCCACCTCTGCTGCTGTGACCTGTCCTGCTCCACCCAGAGGCTACTCCACCTCTGCTGCTGTGACCCGTCCTGCTCCACCCAGAGGCTACTCCACCTCTGCTGCTGTGACCCGTCCTGCTCCACCCAGAGCGCTACTCCACCTCTGCTGCTGTGACCCGTCCTGCTCCACCCAGAGGCTACTCCACCACTGCTGCTGTGACCCGTCCTGCTCCACCCAGAGGCTACTCCACCACTGCTGCTGTGACCCGTCCTGCTCCACCCAGAGGCTACTCCACCTCTGCTGCTGTGACCCGTCCTGCTCCACCCAGAGGCTACTCCACCACTGCTGCTGTGACCCGTCCTGCTCCACCCAGAGGCTACTCCACCACTGCTGCTGTGACCCGTCCTGCTCCACCCAGAGGCTACTCCACCACTGCTGCTGTGACCCATCCTGCTCCACCCAGAGGCTACTCCACCACTGCTGCTGTGACCCGTCCTGCTCCACCCAGAGGCTACTCCACCACTGCTGCTGTGACCCATCCTGCTCCACCCAGAGGCTACTCCACCACTGCTGCTGTGACCCGTCCTGCTCCACCCAGAGGCTACTCCACCTCTGCTGCTGTGACCTGTCCTGCTCCACCCAGAGGCTACTCCACCTCTGCTACTGTGACCTGAAGGGCTGTTGCCGTTTATTTCTTTTGTTAGCTTTTAAGGATGATCAATCTTATTTTTTTATTTTTGCTGCTACTGGACACCTGAATTTCTCTGACAGGGATACATAAAGTACCTATCTATCTATCGATCTAAACATAACTTTGGCGTAGTAATAAATAAAACATAACACACAAGTCAGTCTTACCGGTCCAACACCAGCTCCTCCAGCTTGTGCAGGTCACAGGCGATATACTCCAGAGCCATGTCTGTGATGCGGGGGCACCAGGACAGGTCCAGGCTGCGTAGCTTCCTTAGGTTCTCCGCCACCAGCTCCACGCCGTCGTCTGTGATCTTGGAGCAGCCCGACAGGCTCAGCGCAGTCAGGTTGGGCAGGCTGTGCACCATGTTGACCACGCCATGGTTGGTGATCTCCCAGCAGGAGTGCAGCCGCAGAGTGTGGGTGGTGTAGCCCTGCAATCCAATGCAATGTATTTTAGCAAAGTCTGTAATCACAACAGTCACAACAGTGGACATCTCGAAGGATGCAAGCCAATAAGCCAAACTTTGACTGAAATGAGCACATCAGAGACATTGGTCCATAAGAGGCAGAGGTCCATGAATGTTAATAACCCTTCAGATCAGGCTTCTTTCATCTGCTCAATACAAGACAAAAACTAATCTTGCTCTTTTTTCAGACTGACAAATGAGTTTCTTTCTTCTAAGGCTTAGAAGGTTCTTTTAATAAGACAAAAACAAGTTGTGGGGAAGCCGGCCAAAGGGTCAAGCAGGAGGCAGACCTGAAAGTTCCCAAAAACCAAAATTTATTTTCAAAAATAACCAAGGTGACTCGTGGCAACATATATACAAAATATACAAAAACTGCTTCAAAGCAAACAAAGACAGAAAATAATGAAACTGAAACAAACCCACGTGTACCTGCCTACACTGGTGGTCAACCCCCTCTGACTGACTCTTCAGCTCTTATATACCCCCCTAAGACCTCCCACTAGGCTGTACTATCACTCACAGGGGTGGTCTCTAACTCCATACAATGTAAACTATACAATTATGTCCCTCCCTAGCAGGTTTCCTCTCCGGTTTCAAAGTAATGTCTAACTAAACCTATAAACACTACATAATTGAAACAAAACAACAAACAACTTGTTAAACAAACCCAAAATCCCAAACCTCCCCCATCCACATGGTCTGGTCCAAAGACCCTCCCACAGCCTACAAAAATGGCCGATGAAGGGCACGCCTCCTCTTTGCATGGACCATGTGGTGAGGTGAGTATAGCTGCAACTCAAAAGGTGAGTGTTAAAGAAACTATCTCATAGCAGATAACATAGTAAAGCAAATTAATGTGAACAAATGAAATAAGCTGTCAAAATAGGAAAAATATGGGACGAAGTGGCCTGCTTCGTCACACAAGTAAAGAAGTTAGTACTGCTTCATTTCTTCTTACTACTTCTGATTTAGGGTAATTTAAAGCTAGGTATGTGACTTCCAAGACACAACAATGGAACTTATGTAATCAAATTCCATCCATCCATCCATTTTCTTCCCCTTAATCCATTTCTGGGTCGGGGGGTGGCAGTCAGAGCTGCACACAGTACACAGAGCACCAGCCCCTCACTGATCCTCCTGCAGGTGGTGAGTCCACAGGAGCCTTGGTCTTTCAGTGGGGCTTCAGGCAAAGTGGGGTTAAGTGTCTTGCCCAAGGACACAACAACAGCAGTCATCAGTGGAAGTCGTGAAGTAGGTCTCGTGGTGGGCTCGAACCCACGACCTTCAGGTTCAAAGGCCTGAAGTCACTATTTCCTCGCTCTTAAACAGATCGGTTCTATCACTAGTTTTCACATATGTTTGTTTTAGCTTTTTCAGACAGAAAAGTGATCTAGCCTTCTACCACTCGGACCCTCTGCAGCTCTCACCTTCAAATATTTCTGAACTACTGTTATCAGTTAAAGAAGTATTCAAAAAGACTATGGTTGATGCCTTTGGACAGATTAGGGCCATGAGGACTTGACATGAAAATCTTACAATTGCTACTTTCAAATAAATACATAGAAAACTAAGTCATGTTATGCTGAAAGAGCTGAGCAGTGCGTTGGAGCGTCGCCCACCTGCTTGGCGGTGAAGTAGGCCATGGCCGTGTCCGTGACGTGGTAGGCCTGCAGGCTCAGCTCCGACAGGTTGGGCAGCAGCTGGGAGATGGCGGCGATGGCGTCGTCCGCTACGTTGATGCAGTCGCTGACGCTGAGCGAGGTGAGCCGAGCGTTCAGACTGGACCACAGGCCGGCCTCGGTGAAGTCGTTACAGCCGGACAGCTCCAGGTGCATGAGGCCCTGCATCTGCTCCAGCATCACCTGGGGGAGAGCGGGGGAGGCACAAGGACAAATTACAAGAGAGGTTTTTCTCCATGTGTTTTGGAGCGGCCCCAAGGACCAGTCTGGAGCCGAGACCGAGCAGGTCTTAGTGAACACTGAGGTCTGTGGGTAATCTCTGAAACAGCCACTGTCCACGAGGAGACGGGTTTAAGCAGAAATACTCTATCCAGATATGGGATTGTTCACACTGAAGGGTGCAAAAGTGTGACAAAAGGCCAAAAAGGACATACATCAGAAGATATTTTCTGTTTTTCATTTATCTAAATACCTCCTCAGTCCATTAGTAGTTCTGTTTTACACATTAGTCACATGTTCTGTAGTGTCTGTTTCTGAGTCATGGACCTGATGCTTTGAATTAGCTGAAGTTTGTTACATCTTTGATTCATAAATTATTATTTTTTTACACAGAGTAGAAACAAAGTGATTATTTCATTTAGTAAAGCAATAACGCGTGAAACCAGACCATCATCTTTTTAAACATTTATTTTTCATTTAAATGTTTATTGATTATATTTGAAAAATGGTTCCTTTTTAAATGAAAAGTGATTTCCTGATTATCTTCTGTGGGAGTTCATCTTGTTTCACACTGAGGACCTTTTATCTTCTGTTGTATGACACAGTAGAATTATCACATCAGAGGCACACATTTTAAAAACAAATAAAGCAGTAAAAACTATTATTTTGACAATAAATTAACTGAGTGATTATTCTTTTGTTTCTGTTAAAACTGATATTTATGATATTTGATGTAAATTTACCCAAATAAAAGTCATTTTAAATGTGTAGGGATCATTAAATCCACTGTAACAGGCCTTAAAGCAACAGTTCACACCTGGAGAATCAGCTGCACAACTCCATGGAAACAAAATGTTAATCTCTGTTTTACTATTTACATACAGTAGGTTCACCGCCACACTGTGACATCTCCATGGAAACGAACAGAAAGCTGTCGACCAAGACAAGTATGTAGTAATATATATCTATTATACTACAGTACATCTATTATGCTGTAGTATTATAGTATCTTACTGTTAAGACACAGACTTTTTTAGTCCTATAAAAACACTCAAAAATCCACAGCCTCGCACATCTGAGACATGCTAGGGCCATATGAAACAACTCTGAGGAGCACAGGGACTGTCCTTCTGCTGGGACTCTGAGGAGCACAGGGACTGTCCTTCTGCTGGGACTCTGAGGAGCACAGGGACTGGCTCCTGCTGTCTTGTGTTTGAAGTGTGCTATACAGATAAACTTGCCTCAGCGGTCAAAAGTGAGAAAGCAGATGTAACTGAAGATTAAACAAAAGTGTGCGTCTAAACCCTCTGCTGCACACTGGGGAAGTCTTGCACAGTTTTTCCAAAGTGGTTTTACTGCAAATGGCAAATAAATTCTTCAATCTTGATTCTTGAACAGACTTGGGACAGTCTGGGGTCAATTAGCGCTGGGGCCCTGTCTGGAGATTCTACCTCCAGAGAGGGCCTTTCTGTGTGGACTTTGCATGTTCTCCCTGTGTCTGCTGTTTGTGACACCTGTGTTTTCTCCAGGTGCTCCAGTTTCCCAAAGCACTAAAAACATGTACATTAGGTCCAGCGTGCGCCTCCTGTAAGCGTCACACCTTCCATTTGGAGTGAGAGACAAATGCCGTAATGATCGTAAAATGCTTTGTCACTGTGTATGTCAGAGTCAGCTTTAATTGTGTAGCACATGTACAACAACACCAGCTGCCCAACGTGCTTCACAGGCACAAGTGGAAAAAATAATAATGATAAACCAGAATTAAAAACACGCAACAAACAAGTAAAATGTGAAAAACGGTTTACTTCAGTTGGTGTTAAAAGCCGAGGCACAAATGTCTTTAGACTAGAGTTAAAAACCTACAATGAAGAAGCTGCTCTAGTGTACAGAGAGTCAGAGAGAGACCAGAGAGAGACCAGAGAGAGACCAGAGAGAGACCAGAGAGAGACCAGAGAGAGACCAGAGAGAGAGACCGAGAGAGAGAGACCAGAGAGAGAGACCAGAGAGAGAGACCAGAGAGAGAGACCAGAGAGAGAGACCAGAGAGAGAGACCAGAGAGAGAGACCAGAGAGAGAGACAGAGAGAGAGACCAGAGAGAGAGACCAGAGAGAGAGACCAGAGAGAGACGGAGAGAGAGACCAGAGAGAGACCAGAGAGAGAGACCAGAGAGAGAGACCAGAGAGAGAGACCAGGAGAGAGAGACCAGAGAGAGAGACCAGAGAGAGAGACCAGAGAGAGAGACCAGAGAGACCAGAGAGAGAGACCAGAGAGAGAGAAGAGAGAGAGAGACCAGAGAGAGACCAGAGAGAGACGAGAGAGACGGAGAGAGACGGAGAGAGACCGGAGAGAGACAGAGAGAGACCAGAGAGAGACAGAGAGAGACAGAGAGAGACAGAGAGAGACAGAGAGAGAGAGAGACAGAGAGAGACAGAGAGAGACAGAGAGAGAGAGAGAGACAGAGAGAGACCAGAGAGAGACCAGAGAGAGACCAGAGAGAGACCAGAGAGAGACCAGAGAGAGACCAGAGAGAGACCAGAGAGAGACCAGAGAGAGACCAGAGAGAGACCAGAGAGAGACAGGAGAGAGAGACCGAGAGAGAGACCAGAGAGAGACCAGAGAGAGAGACCAGAGAGAGAGACCAGAGAGAGAGACCAGAGAGAGAGACCAGAGAGAGAGACCAGAGAGAGAGACCAGAGAGAGAGACCAGAGAGAGAGACCAGAGAGAGAGACCAGAGAGAGACCAGAGAGAGACGAGAGAGAGAGACCAGAGAGAGAGACCAGAGAGAGAGACCAGAGAGAGAGACCAGAGAGAGAGACCAGAGAGAGAGACCAGAGAGAGAGACCAGAGAGAGAGACCAGAGAGAGAGACCAGAGAGAGAGACCAGAGAGAGAGACCAGAGGAGAGAGACCAGAGAGAGAGACCAGAGAGAGAGACCAGAGAGAGAGAGAGAGAGAGAGAGACGAGAGAGACGGAGAGAGACCGGAGAGAGACCGAGAGAGAGAGAGAGAGAGACCAGAGAGAGACCAGAGAGAGACCAGAGAGAGACCAGAGAGAGACCAGAGAGAGACCAGAGAGAGACCAGAGAGAGACCAGAGAGAGACCAGAGAGAGACCAGAGAGAGACCAGAGAGAGACCAGAGAGAGACCAGAGAGAGACCAGAGAGAGACCAGAGAGAGACGGAGAGAGACGGAGAGAGAGACCAGAGAGAGAGACCAGAGAGAGAGAAGAGAGAGAGAGACCAGAGAGAGAGACCGGAGAGAGACCGGAGAGAGACCGGAGAGAGACCGGAGAGAGACCAGAGAGAGACCAGAGAGAGACCAGAGAGAGACCAGAGAGAGACCAGAGAGAGACCAGAGAGAGACCAGAGAGAGACCAGAGAGAGACCAGAGAGAGACCAGAGAGAGACCAGAGAGAGACCAGAGAGAGACCAGAGAGAGACCAGAGAGAGACCAGAGAGAGACCAGAGAGAGACGGAGAGAGACGGAGAGAGAGACCAGAGAGAGACATTTGCTTTCTTACGTTTGACCGCTAAGGCAAGTTTATCTGTATAGCACACTTCAAACACAAGGCAACTCAAAGTGCTGAACAAAACAAGAGAAGAACCAAGACATTACAATAATAAGTAATCACTGCTCCTCAGAGTCCCAGCAGGAGGCCAGTCCCTGTGCTCCTCAGAGTCCCAGCAGGAGGCCAGTCCCTGTGCTCCTCAGAGTCCCAGCAGGAGGCCAGTCCCTGTGCTCCTCAGAGTCCCAGCAGGAGGCCAGTCCCTGTGCTCCTCAGAGAGAGACCAGACAGAGACCATAGAGAGACAGAGAGAGACCAGAGAGAGACCAGAGAGAGACCAGAGAGAGACCAGAGAGAGACAGAGAGAGACAGAGAGAGACAGAGAGAGACCAGAGAGAGACCAGAGAGAGACCAGAGAGAGACGGAGAGATGGAGAGAGACAGAGAGAGACCAGGGAAAGACCAGAGAGCGACAGAGAGAGACCAGAGAGACGTCTCTCTCTTAGTTAGATCGGGGGTGGAACAGTCTAGTAAGTGATCTTCATTTATATAGCGAGTTTGGATATTTTTATCTCCAACTGATGACGAAGCGAGAAGCCGAAAACACTGGTCCATCAAAGCCCCAACACCATCCATTCATTCACTCATTATATTCAGACCTATTATACATGTTTTTAGTGGTAGGGGAAACCAGAGCACCCGGAGGAAACCTACGCAGACACGAGGAGAACATACAAACTCAGAAAGGCCCTGGTCCGACCGGGACTCAAACCCAGGACCTTCTTGCTGAGAAGCGAGAGTGCTATCCAGTGCTAGCCATCGTGTTGCCAAAAGACCCGGAGATAACTACTGTTGTGATTCAGGGTCAATACAAAAATAATTTGTATGGAATTGTCAGCTCAGGGGTGGGACAGTCTGGGGTCCAGTTCTGTAAATCTGGGGTCTCCAGACGTGGGTGCCCCGAGCAGCAAGATCCACATGAGGAGACCCCTTCAGGACTTTGAACACATGGAGGTCTTTGCATCCAGACTGAGGACATGGACCAGAGAGGAGAAGAAGCCCATGCTGCCACCCCACTGGTTTCCATGGCAACCATCCCCTTGTCCCAGAATAGCAAGGCAGCATTAGCAGGAGAGAGAGAGAGCACTAGCGCAGAGAACAGCACAGTTCTATTTCCACACCGCACACAAGCTTATTATTACAGGTAAATAAGTAAGTCATATTTATTCATAAAGCTTTATAATGTTTTAAAGAACAGAGACTCCGAACACACTGGTGCATTGAAGCCTCTGACCGACACCAGGCACTCACTCAATCACATTCAAACCTGTTGTACATGTTTGTAGTGGAGCACCCGGAGGAAACCTAAGCAGACACTGGGAGAACATGCAAACTCGACACAGGAAGCCCCTGTCTGGAGGTGCACATGTTACACCTGAGACAAAAGTACTACATAGATA